CTCGGATGAATTATTTAGCGACCAAGACTAACAATTTTTCGGTTTGAATTAAAATTTAAGCTTTGTATTTCGTATGTTTTCAACAAGTTTACATTTAAAATCAACCACAACCTTTGGATAACTATCGTCCAAAATAATAATATTTAATATAAATTGTTTCGTAATATTCACATTACAATTAAATTTGTGACGCGGCAACAGTGCATTCTGAGCAAGTATATCTACAAACTGATTCAAACTCTCTTTTGAAAAATCATGAATGTGTTGCTTGTGTGAGTCCATTTCAAATAGGTAAAGAAATAATAAATAAAACTTACTCACAATCAATTTAATTTAACTATCAGACTTTCTTTTCTCCTCGTCCTCTATATTTTCTCCTTCGTAAGGATGTAGTGGCGTCATGTAATTTGTTTGACTATTCCTGTCCAATTATCTCTCTCCTGTGCGTGTTGTTTTGCTTCAGAGAATGAGTAACCAGTCATGTCCTTTATTTGGTCCAACCATCGTACGGGAGATCTTCCTCTGGATCTTTTACCCGCTACGTTAGATAGTTATAGATTTTGGTTGATAGTTGTGATGAGTCTAGTTTTTATGTTAAGTTCTGCTAGAATATAGTTATTTGTTCCATGGGTAGTCCATGGTATGCGCAATACTCTACGGTAGAGCCACATCTCACATGCCACTATACGCTTTGAATCGGCTTTTTTTATTGTCCAAGTTTCTGAAGCATAAGTGGCGATAGGAAATATCAATGCTCGAACAAGGCGTAATTTTGTGTTTTTTTGTGAAGACAGTGTTCGTGATGGTCAGATTTTTGTGAGTTTGGCTGTTGCAGATTTGGCCATTGTGATGCGTCGATAGATCTCATCTTCGCGTCCTTCTCTGTTAGTACTAAGGAACCTAAGTAATTAAATTACTTGACCACTTCGTAACCTGCCATGTTTCTTTAGTCTGCTTGGTTATTTCTTATTTTATCGATGATCATCACTTTCATCATGGTTTTTTGCATATTTATTTTCAAATCATATTCCGTACTCACCGTGCCCAGCCTATTCATAATTTGTTCCAGTTCTTCTGGCGATGACGCCAATATAACAGTGTTATCAGCATAACCTAGGTTTGTGATTTTTCATCCTCCTATTGTTGCTCCACGTTGCTATTCTCCAAAAACTTGACTCATAATATGTTCACTATATACGTTGAATAGTGTAGAGAATATTATGCATCCTTGTTGAACTCCAGAATTTAATTTTAAGTTTTTCGAAACCACATTTTAACTCTTACATTAGTAGTATTATTTACATATAGTTTTTGTAATAAATAGATTAGATGTTCTGGCGTACCCATTTCTCTAAGTATATGCCATATTTTATCCCATTTTACGGTATTGAATGCTTTGATAGTCAGCAAAGTATAAATATGTTTTTATGTTAAACTCCCGAGATTTTTCAATAATCTGACGAATATTAAGAATATGTGCTCGTTCGTCTACCTGGGACGAATCCGCATTTTTCTTGGGGAATTTGTTTTAAGAAAATTGATTTTAGTCTTTCATTGATGATGATTAGAAGTACTTTGCTCACGTGTGATATCAATGCTACTGTACGATAATTACTGCAATCTGTCGGTGAACCTTTTTATATATGGGAATAAACGTGAGTTTACCCCATTCATTAGGCCACTTTTTGGTATTCCAGATCTCATTGCAAATTCTAATCATCGCTTCCGTCCCTAATTCTCCCATTTCTTTGAGTCTTTCAGCTTGTTATTCCATCTTCTGCTTCTGCTTTTCTAAATTTGGGCATTTTAGTTGCCGCCTTAATTTCTGATTTCAATATTTGAGCTTCTTATTCATAACTTCTTTTCTTTGTATTATTGCCTGGGTCGTTATTAGAAAATAGTATTTTGCAATATTGTTTCCACACCTCAATAATACAGTCTGGGTTGGTATGGTATTTCCACTATTATCTTTGATGATCTGTGTCTGCTATTTGAATTCTCTCGCTAGATACTTGACTTTTGAAAAAAGTTCTGTAGATTCTTGGTAGTCAGCATGTTTCTCTAGTTGTACACATATTTTTTAATAAAACCACTTTGTCCTTTCCGCACAAGTTTTTTATAGTTGTAGTTGTATTTATGGTGCATATCTTTCGTCTTTCTTCTACAAGATTGAGAGTCTCTTCAGTCATCCAATGTTTTTTTATATCTTTTTTGTCTTTGGAATTAGCATTGTTGATGGCTTCAATGCTCTATTTCTTTGTTTATTTCCACATTTTTTCAGGGTCTCCGGTAGTCACTAGTAGGTCAGCTTCTAATAATGCTTCTCTTAACTTTTCCGGATGTTTTGGAATCAATTTTAGTCTTTTGTTGGTGATTGTTTTACTGTGTAACTTAATGAGAAATTCTGCTTGTAACATTTTGTGGTCGCAACCACAGTCTGCAGCTGGTTTTGTCTTCACGTTGATTATTAAGCTCATCCATCGTTTAGTGCCAAGAATATAATCTATTTGATTCTTGTATCGTCCTCCAGGCAAAGACCATGTTGATAATCTCCGCGGATGATTGTTAAACATTGTGTTTACTTTACTAAGATCCATATTGATGGCAAATTGGAGAAGCCGTTCACCTCGTTCATTTCGCTCGCCTAAGCCATTCTCACCTGTCGTTCCTTTCAAATGGTCATCTATTTTAATTTTTCCTATTTTTGCATTCCAATCTCTATATTATCATTGGTTCTTTTTTAGGAATGTTAGAGATGGTTTCATGTATCAGGTGGTATATTTATTGCTGCTGTCAATAAAGTCACGATAGCGAATATGGTAGCCAACATGATATCTAACGATCGATAACGGTCATGGAACTAGAAGAAGAAGAAGTGGTATATTTCTTCTACTATATCTTCTACTTCGAATGTCGGCATATCGATGGCTAAAGTGCAAAACCTCTTAAGTCAAAATTTTCCAATAATTTGTATATATTGCTATCTATTAAACTGCAAATCCTCATAAGTATATTTCAACATTAAGACCTCTAGTGCTATCTATCAAAAACTGGTAAAAACTCTTTAGTAAAAAGGGTAAAGCAGAAATCTATTAAGTAGGACTTACGTGCTTTTTATATTTACATTTGGTCGGATATCTTATGTAGTAATACAATGTTGCGAGATTTTACCGGAATGCGGCAAGTGTTTTTTTAGGTTTTGTGTTTTACTCTTGTGAATAAACGTAGTTTTGTTGTTTTGTTTTGAAAAATATGTGTTGTAGTCGTGGAAAAACAATTTTGAATTGAGTGTTGCAAGCTGATATAGATGGGTAAGTGATTTTTTGCCTTTTTTTTATATTTTTATTATTTATCGTTTGAGGTTAAGTCTGTTTTCTTCAAACTCACTGAAAAAGTAGGGCATGGTGTAAATTACAATAAAGCAAATAATGAGAAAAAGATCAAGGAAATCTGACGTTAATTATTTAAACTGGGAACGAAATAAAAATGAACTGAAAATAATGAAGGGGAAATCATACCAATCCTGTAAACTTGATAAAGATGACAAGTATAAAAAAATTGAACGAGACGAGAGAAAGATGGGACCTCCATGTCAATGTAAGAATTCGCAAAGATCTCTAAAATTTTTTTGCAATATTTTTGAAGACATTGTTCTGAAGCTATTTTCTTGTGGCATTTTAAATAAATTACTATTTAACTGGGAATAAGCCACAATTAAAGATAAAAATACGTTTATTGACGTTTCAATTTCCACTTCGGAAATTGTTCTCAAAATACAAACAGTAAATTCAATACTGATTCTGAAGCTATTTTCTTGTGGCATTTTAAATTAATTACTATTTAACTGGGAATAAGCCACAATTAAAAATAAAATACGTTTATTGACGTTTCAATTTCCACTTCGGAAATCGTTCTCAAAATACAAACAGTAAATTTGACTCAAATGAAGTGTGACTCGGTTCACGCGTGTATTGAGCGTAAACTTAGAAATCGTGTCGTGTATGTACCGGGATGTTATGTTGACATTTGTAGGTCTGCTAAGGCAAAAGATCCTTATGAAGTTGACTACTTAAATTATTCCTTTTTTTAAAGATTACTCGGTAATCAAAACATTTTCTTGCAATTCGTTCTGGCAATACTAAGGGATATCCTAAAGTAACTGATCTCAGAGCACTGGCATACCGTTGTGATGGTGCGATTGAACGCTCCTCTAAAAATTAAGCCTGATAAATTTAAACACCTTCAAGAATTAAGAAACTATATTTCAGAAGATTTTAGGCTATTCCACGACAACTTATCCCACTAACTCAAACTTTTTTTATTTTTTTTGTATTTCTGTCGAATAAAGTTTTTAGTTGTGTTCGTATTGTTTCATTAATATTTTTTAATCATCTAATTAAACAAAATATTGTATTAAAATCCTTAACCACATAATACTTTTCATGTCAAAACATCGCAAGTTGAAAAATGATTTAAAAAAAATACAACAAAACCTCGTAAGTCAATTTTTTTTTGAAAAATCAAATTTAGTGTACTTGCACAGCATTAAAAATAGATGCAATTATAATGTTTTATATCGCTAACACCAAAACGGGAACGCCTTATAAAAAAAAGTAATCAGTTTTTTGTCTCTCCTGTAAAATTTATAAAATTCAACTTAATAGGTTTTACACTTTAGCCATCGATATATAGCTGTATAATATGCATTTTGGTTGGTTTAGCGTTTAGAGTTATTTTGATTATTCGGTCATTTACTGGAAGGTATTCATGTACATATTTTGCCCAACGTTTTTGAATGGATATTGCTTTATTTTCTATTTACAGGCAAATAAAAAGTGCAGCAACTTTTTGAAGATAATAGATGAAAAGATGCAGTAAAGTTTAATGTCAGAATAGAAAACAAGTGTCTAAATCTTGGAATGAAGAAAGAAAAACAAAAAGAGGTTGTAATAAAAATTTAATTAATTAACGATCAAATTTGAAATATTATCAAAAATATATTAACTTACACTAAGTTTTTGCATTGCAGCTAAAGCTTTAAAGATATCACCACTACCTCTATGTTCACCTTTTCTATGTTTCTTGTTTAATATATAGTTAAGAGGACTAGCTATCTTTAAATGTTCATGCTGTGGGATTATGTCTTCGCCTTCGGGTTCTGATTCTGAAAAAGAAAAAAAAGTGTTTGTATAGAATTAGACTTATGGCAATTTCATAGTTTAGCAAATTAACGTAAAAACAACAGGAACAAAGATTACACATAACAGCATAAAAGAACAAAAAAGAATTCGTAGGCTAATTAATCGATATTTTGAGCATCGGGTTTTTTACGGTAGCAAAAATGAACTTGAGCCAGTCTGCCGGAATCACTCCAGTAATATATATTGCATTAAAAAAATTTGCTAATAATTTTATGTTATCTTCATCTATTAGCTTTAACAACTCAGTTGGTGTAGGATTACAAGTTTTCCTAATTTTAGCATTTTTTGAAGCATCTTCTATCTCTGATTTCATAATTTCTGGGCCGTCAGCACAATTTTGGTAGGATTTGGAAATATTATTTCTGTCATCTTCAAACAACTCTGATATATACAGTTGCCATATTCTTCTTATTTCGTTCTCATTTACAATCATTTTGTTGTTATTGTTAACTAGTACAAAGGGAACACGCTTTTTAAATATGTTGCTTATTTCTATTACTTTTTGTGCACATTAAAAAACTCGTGCCTAGATATCACATCCTTAATTTTCTCGCACCTTTCTCTCGTTCATTTTTCTTTGGCTAATTTTATCTTCTTTTTAATCCTTCTCTGTAGATGTCTATATACTCTTTTATTCGATTTTATAAGTCGACGCTGACCCATCAATTTCAAGATGTCTTCTACCATTCATTGGCTTTTCTTCATTTTTAGTTACTTCTATAATCATTTTTTGTGAAGATTTTATTAACTTAATTACTATTTAACTGGGAATAAGCCACAATTAAAGATAAAAATACGTTTATTGACGTTTCAATTTCCACTTCGGAAATCATTGTGATGTCCTCTCGTAGGAGTCACTATCCGGGTAGCTTTTAGACAGTCAGAGACAGAGTTCAAAACAAAAATAAAACTTTATTGTCTTCCTTAAATTAAATTGACAAAAATCTTATGTACATATTTACAATTTGGTTTAGTCTTCTCAGTACCTGGCCTATTTATTCAAATTAAGTTTGACCTTGTCATATGAAATTAGTTTTATCGACAAGCGAATGTTTATTTGAAATTTTACGGGAACGTTGTATCGATTTAATAACAGCGGACGATAGGTACAAAGAAAGGAAAGGAACTCAACACGTCCCTTAAGTGATTCGGGTTAACAGGACACTCCTCGACAGTCTCAACACGACTGCTTTAGAGTATGGGTAGTGAAGAGATCAACACTCTCTTCGGGTAACGGCGGTATGGGACGGAACGACTTGTGAACTCAACACGTCCACAAGCCGGCGTAGGGAAGAAGAGAACCTTCAGTCAACACCTGTCGATTCTCTTTCTATGAAGAAATGTTGCGGTTTAAATGCCGGAGCTTGGTAATTAATTTTGCCCTTTCTACTGTCGATATACTCCTACTTCATGGGTTGGTTCGCGCGCACGCTGGTTTAACGGTGATGGCTTGGACTCATCGTTACATCGTTCTCAAAATACCGATTTCCGAAGTGGAAATTAAAACGTCAATAAACGTATTTTTATCTTTAATTGTGGCTTATTCCCAGTTAAATAGTAATTAATTTACAATGCCACAAGAAAATAGCTTCAGAACAATATTTATTATCTTAGTCTTTAAATTCATTCCACGCTTCCTCTGGATCTTCTAGTTGTTTTCCGACGTTCTTTATTGTTTTGTTAAATTCTTTTTTAATTTCATGTTTATGCCTGTATCGTCAAAATTGGTTATATTGGTTTTTGGATTTTATCGTTGGATTCGTTTTAAACTTAGTTTATTATCTGCCCAAGGAGTTGGTGATCCGATCCAATATCTGCTCCTGGAAATGTAGTGACTTTTTTGATGGCATTTCGGATGAGCTCACTTACAAGTATATAATCTATTTGGTTACCCAATACCAATTTTATTCCTTATCCTGTCATTTCCCACTTTTTCGTGAAGTGTTAGCCTTTAAACCGCATTTTCATTGATAGTAACATCTTTTTTAAACATTCTGTCATTTACTAGACCTCAGCTTTGTGAGTTGTGATGCTTTATTCTGGGATTCTGATTTTTGTATCTAAGCGAATATAATAGTGAATCCTCACGAATCGCGGTAAAAGGCTTAGAACAAGAAGATCTTAGAGACAAGAAGTAATTGGTGCAATGGAAGATAGAGGTATGCAAACAGATGAGTGGAAAGGTTGCATGTTATTATGGTTTGTTTTTTAACCAGGAGTAATTCAAATCATGATACTATGAATAACAAGATAGGATCTTTCCGTAGCTCAAAATCGGTCGGGTTCGCGCATGCCGTCATTGGAGACTAGAATTTGAATTCTTGTTAAAGTTAAATGAGATTTGTATGCATTCTGTGATGAAATTACTAGACGAAAATAAGTTAAGAGGTTTAATAATTACAATAATCGTACACATAAGGATATCTCCAAACTATTTATTAAAGATTATTTATTGATATATACAAAAACTGACATTTCGAACGTGCAAGTCTCCAATGACGTCACAAAAACATGCGCAATATCTTATCTTATAGTCATAGCACAGAATAATAAACATACAGAATGCCCACTCTCCACGGAAAATTAAGTACGCGCATCTCCTTCGCGCAGACGTTCCGCCATGTTTTACGAGGATTTTAAAGGGAACCAGTGTTGTTTATGTGGTGTGCATGGAAAAAAAAACAGGTTTATTTGACTTACGGCAATCATAGACATACTATACAATTATAGTAACAGTTTTAAATATAATATAATTAAACATAAATGTAAACAATTGCATAACCTCACAAATCATATGTTTGTGTCCTCCTAAAACATGGCGCGCGTGCTGAAAAACTTCAAAGGCGGCATCTGAGAGTGGCCTTTCTGGTTGTTTATTATTCTGTGGTCATAGTATCATGATTCAAATTTACCACGCCAATGCTTGTTTGTAATTGGTCCAACCGCAGACAAGTTTACTCAACTCAATTATGACATTTTGACACTACTGACACTTATGAAATTTTAAAATTTAAAATTTATATCAACGATTTTTTTGTATTTTCTGCGGTATTCCTTTAATTTTTAGATTTTTTGTTTGCATTTATATAAAAAAAACAGTTCTTTTCAGAACTATTTAGCGACATATTAGTGTTATTAAGATAACAATATGGATTCAATGCCCAGTACCACAGCCACCGGAAGTAAAGGTGGCTGTGCCAGTACTAGTTGTAATTATCCTTCCTCATTTAAAAGACACCGAGTAGATTTGGGTTATTTATCATGAAATGAAAAACAATGCAATATAAACATGTACAAACCAATAAAAATTGATAATCCTGGAATAAAAATAACAGCCATGGTAGCAAAAATTAAACAGGCAACGGAATAGTTTTGCAGAATAGTTATTCTTAAAATCAAGACTTACTAAATAATGTGCTAATTTTAGGTGTTGCAAATTCAACTATTTACAGAACAATTAAGGAATATAAGCAGATTGGAACAGTGATGAACAAGATGTCCTAAACAATATGTATGAACATAAGTCTATATCTGTATATTTGAAAAATGGACAATCCCATAAAACTGGTTATATTCCTATAAGGTAGCATACAATATTTTTTGTTTAAGTTAATGAGCTGATGAAATATGTATTGTAAAATCCCATTGGAGATTAGATATAATTTTATCAAGAATATATCGCTTTCGTATACGTTCCGGACGATTTTCTTCTACAATGTGATAATGAACTCTAAAAATTCTTCAACTTCTTCATAACAATCCAACATTTTTTTATTGTGATTAGAAAAACAAAAAAATATACATTGGAAGTGAATTGGAAAAAATTATTATTCAAACATAAACAAAGTTAGGTTAGAATCGATTACTGGATTACCGCAAGGCCGAGATAAACGACCAAAAAAATATATATTTGGTGACTTTTCTAGTAACTTTCTTGGGTGTAAATCTGTCTTTTCAGTTTACTCCTCCTGGTTAAAAACAAACCATAGTTTGTATAGCATTTTTTCATAGTATATTATTAGGTTTAGTTAAATTTAAGGAACGAAAAAGTAATTAGATATATTGTATTTCATATAGTAAAATAAAATAGATAGATCGGTAAGACACATTTATTTTTCTTATATGTTTAAGTAACCTCTTTTAATATAAAAAAAAGAAATTGGTTTTTGATATTATGGTCATAACATATATAATAAAAACCTTAAAATGTAAATGGAAATTAGTACTTATATATACTTACTTTCATTTAAAATTGAGTTAAAATAACTTCTGTTCGGCAATGTTTTCTGTCTTCTGATTTCTTTCTTATCGTTTGGCGATTCCAAGGTTTTACTGCCACTTTCAACATTTTTTCTCTGATAAGATGGAAGAGACAAAATATGCCGGTAAACTCTTCCTCTTTCAGAGATGTAAATAACCCTTAAAGTATTTTTCTGTACCATAGTAAGCATGTTTTTAGCCCAAGACCAATTTTTATTAACTGAATCAATAAGACCTTGCGCTGGTGTTATTTTTCCGGAATTGACAAGTTCTGCAAAGGACCCTAAAGCTGCAAGCTCGTCGTTACTTATTCTGTCTTTAATAGATTCTAAGTGCCAAGATATAGCGTGCGAAGAAGCAAAAATATTATTCAGGTATGGTCTTAAAATCGGTCCCAGATACCTTTTACTTTGATCCATTCCCCTGTACAACCATTTGAGAATTGTTTTTACTAAAGAAAGATCATCTTCGAATGTAACCAAAGAAATCAATTCTTTATCTTTCCTCATCATGTCGACTAATCTAGAAGTGTGATTATTAAAATTGCTTTTAATTTTTAGTCTATTTTTTAAGATCGCAGGATTAGTTTGGTTGGATAAGTATTGGTCTCTAGCCTGGTCCATAATTGTTACTAATATAAATATTATGTCTTCCAAGGGATGATCATGGTGGTAATTTTGATTATTTAAAATATCTTCCACTGTATGATCAACCTAAAAAAATGGTTATATTATAACAGTATTAACAATTGGACATCGTCGGTCTAGTGCACACAGGTGTTAAGTGACTTTTTTGGCAAAATGAGTTAAATGCATTTCGAAATTAAGACTAGCAAGGAGTTTCATATGCACACTCGAGCTAACTGATAATTATAATTTTAAATTTGCTATCGCCATCTAACAAAAGTGGTAAGTACTAATAAATTGTAGGAATCTAACACAAAGGTTGGAAGAGCACTTAGTACCTTTGTGTTTCTTGTGCAATAATTACAAATGAGTGAAGTGAACACATGCTTCTTTTGCATTTTGAGGTTATTTGACAGTGATAGTTGCAAAATTATTATTTGATTTATGGAAAGTATTATAAAATAATTGTAATTATAATTATGGCGTCCCGATCGGAGAAGATACTACAGATGGCGTTAGATGATGTAGGAAAAGAGCTTAAAGGTATAGTAACGTGTCGACTGAAAAACCATCTTGTTTTACTTAAAAATAATTATTTATTTCAGTTGCCACAATAACTCCGGCATTGGAAAAACTACTGAAGGAGTATCAGGTAATGTAGAAACTGATATAACAGAAACTATTATTCTAAATCAAGCACAGGAAACTGATGAAACAAACGAAAATTGGTGTGATGAAAATATTAATCACCAGATTCAAGAACTTGACTCATATAATGGTGGTGATCTTGATGAATATAATCTCTATGCTTCATCGAGAAGTCCTTATCATCCGTCAGAAGAAAGCACTGAATCTGAAAATGTTGATAAAATAAGCCAAAAGATGAGGAACCAAATGAAATACCAAAAAAACGTCGCCGCAGAAAGCCAATAAAAAGGAATGGAAACGATCAATTGTAAAAGAGTTAAGAATTAGTGTTAAAAAAAAGTCGTCGAGAAGTGTGTTGAAGGAATGATGAATAAGGGAATTTTTGTCGGCTATGATAAAAGACAGAATAGCAAACCCCACAATGCAACTGCTGAGATACAACAGCAGCAAGTTAAGGATCATATTAACTCATTTCCAAGAATTCAGTCGCATTACTGCAGGCGTGATTCAACTAAAAAATATCTAAATGCAGATTTAAACATTTCCATCATGTACCGATTATATAAACACTTTTGCACTTCTAATAGTTTAAGTCCGGTCTCAAAGTTTGTATACCAAAGTATTGTTCATGATTTTGGACCAACTCTTGCCTTTTATCGTAGAAAAAAGGATCAGTGTTCAGTGTGTAATGCATTCAAGCAGGCCAAAGAAAAAGATCCCTTAAGAGAAGAGTATGAAAAGCATAAAAAAAAAGCCGAAAAACAGTAGATGGATATGAAAGAAGACGATAAAAATGGCAGTAGCCACGTTCGGAAATACATTTAGAGCAATAACATTCGATCTGCAAGCTATTCTATCCGTTTCGTTTGCTGGTGATTCTCAGATATATTACAAGAGCCATCTAAATGTTTACAATTTTACAATTTATGATGGATCTACTCGAGACAGTTATTGCTATGTTTGGGATGAAACTCATGGTAGCAAAGGTAGTTCTGAGATTGGGTCATGTCTGCTTAAATATCTACTAGACCTACCCAAAACTGTAAGCCACATAGCTTCCTTTTCTGACATGCGGAGGTCAAAACAGAAATAAAAACATTGCCACAGCGATGCTCTATGCCGTCAATACAATTGATAATCTCTAAATCATTGACTTAAAATTTATGGAATCAGGTCATTCGTACCTGGAAGCGGATTCAATGCACTCTACAGTCGGGAGGGCTCGGGCACATAAAAAAATTTAAACACTCAGGAGTGGTGTCCATTGATTTCAGCTGCTAGAATGAAACCTAGACCATACCAAGTTATTCATTTAAAGAACTCAAACAGTACTGTAAATTGTGTTGGGGACAACGTTGAATGGTTTAAAATCAAGTGGCTGCGATTTCAGAAAGAAAAGGCATTTACAATTCAATATAAGTACGATCTATCATCAGAAACTTTTTTGGAACTTGATATTACACAAAGCAGACAACGATTCGGCCGAACAAAGAACTGGACTTTTGTACAGCTAAAATCTAAATATCCTTTAGATAAAATATCCTAAACGAAGACCTTGTTTATTTACTCAATAAAAAAATTATTCCCGAAGAGTACAGAGATTTCATTGTAAGTCTTCCATCGACATCGGATTCAACGGAGTTAGCAGTACACAAGGAGATAGACTAATCTTTAATACAATTATTTTTAAAGAGGTTTTGTTTGAGAATTTAAATTACCTAGTACCACATATGAGTTAAGTGAAACTTTTGTTTTGAAAATATGTTTTTTCTAAAGCAACTATGATATTTATTTTAATTTTTTTAAATCGCATTATCAAACAATTGTGTATAGTTTACCAAAAACAAATAAATCGCTGGAAACAAAATTTATTTGACTTTATATTATGTTATAAACTTTGTTTTCGCAATTACTCGAATTAGCGATTTTTCACTTAGCACCTCTGTGCGCTAGACAGTAGAAGAATTATTTCGCGCAGCAGTCGACAGAGAAAGGTTGCAGGAAATTGTAAACATGATGACGGCCAACGTCTGAATACGGACACTGCACCCAAAGAAGAAGAAGCGCTAGACCAGGGTTTCCCAACCTTTTCTTTGTTGGGGCTCCCCGGACTATAAATTAAATTTTCATGCCCCTTCTTTACTTTTTTAATAAATACAACAAAAAACGCACATTATATACTTAAAATGTTATTTTAATTCTAATAAACAAATTTTAAAAGTTTAAATAAACTAGTACATGTTTTTTATCAAAAAAATTAAATTTAACAAAGTTAATATTAATGAGACACTTGGGATTGCATATTCTGTACTATTTGGTTGATTCTAGGATCTGTTTTTGCCAGAGGTATCATCAGGTCGCCATCGACATCAAGACGATTTCGCTGTTTAGTTTTAGTTAAAACTAGAGCAGAAAAGCCTGTCTCACATTAGTAAGTTGAAGAAAAAGAAACTAGTATTTGTAAAGCAAGAGAGGCAACCTTCGAATTAACAGGCAATCTTTTAATCCAAAATTTCTCCAATGTCAAGAGATGGAAGTCATCTTTCATGGACGAGTCAGCCATCATATCTAGAATTTTTTCCTGAATTTCTTCTGGTAATTGGAACACATCAACAACAAATGGATTTCTTGTCATACGCCATATTGGTGACTCTGAATTGATGTCTCGATAGTTTCTTCGAAATTCGTCTTTCAGCGCTTGCAAATGAGTTTTTATGTCAGCTTTTAAATTTGCGTCAAGTATATTATTTTTAATTGCTTCGAACAGCCGAGAAAAAGACATAACATTTTCAGAAGAGATTTTTTGATTCCATAGTTGAAGCTTTGATATGAACCCCTGAATATAATCATAATTGCTTATTATAGTGCCGTTACTGCCCTGAAGTTTTAAGTTTAGTTCATTCAAGGCATCGAATATGTCAGCCAAATAAGCCAACCTCTATTGAAATGTGTCATCTTTGAACATTGTGAAGAAATCGTGTTTTTCTTTGAACTCGAGAAAAAGAATTACTTCTTCTTTCAATTCATAAAGGCAAGCCAACATGTTGCCTTTGGATAGCCAGCGTACTTCTGTATGGAACAGAAGAACTTTGTGATCAGAATCGAGATCCTCGCAAAGTAAAGTAAATAAACGACTGTTCAAAGCGCTGCTCTTAATGTAGTTTACAATCCTTATAGCCGAGTCCAAAGTCTGGCGTAATGTCTGTGGTAATGTTTTGGAAGCCAAAGCTTGCCGATGAATAACACAATGTGTACTAACCATTTCGGGATTTTTTTCTTTGAGCTTTTTAGCTAATCCCGATCGTACACCTATCATTGCAGGTGCGCCATCTGTGCAAAGTCATGTTTTTCAACAAAATTTGATATTGAATTAAATATATTCTCAGAAGTAGTACCTGCTGCCAAAGATTGGGAGTACAAAATCTCTTCTTCAATGATATCTCCGCCGATGTAACGAACATACACTATTAACTGTGCACAATTAACGATGTCGGTGGATTCATCGCAACTAATTGCAAAAAATGGCGATAATTTTACTTTGTTGATTATTTGTGACTTTATGTCTGCTGCAATATCATCGATTCTACGCTTGACTGTATTATCCGAAAGAGAAATAGATTTCATTTTTTGCTCTGCATCTTCTCCTAAAATTATCTGCGTGGCTTTTAGAACACACGGTTTTATTAATTATTCACCAATAGTATGAGGTTTCTTTTACTTTGCTATCATAAAAGCTATTTCAAATGAAGCTTTGAGATGCTGCGATACACCTTTGTGATAACTTCCCGATTTATCCAATCTCATCCGCTTGAGTGATTCTGCTTTAGAAAAAAAAAACCCTTGCGTCTTCAAAACCAGAGTAGGATGTTGTACCTTCAAATGTCTTTCAGGGCGATTGGGCCTCATGCTATCATTACTTAAAACTTTCATACATATCACACACTGAGGTAACTGTAACTCGTCTTTTTCTATGAAGGTAAATCCAAACTTAATATAATCTTCGGAAAATTTTCTTTTTTTCGCTGCCATTTTGCAACCTATAACAATAAAACAGTAATAAATAAACAAGCAAAATACCTACGTGTAATTACTATTTATAAATGCCCATTTGTCTTAATAACGTAATGTATTTAACGTTTCAAAATTAATTCGCCGCGTAGGTTTGATTGTAATGTGTTAAAAAAGATCCAATGATCGATCTACGAACGCATCTTAGCTCAATCAATAATTTAGTAAATTAAATAAAAATGACAGCTGTAGTTTGTAAATACACAACCTTACCTTTTAACAGTGAAACACAATAATTATACACACTCAAACTAATTTCTCAGCAACAAATTGATACCGAAACGTCAAATTTTTCGTAAATTTACGCGAATGAATGTCACAGATGCTCATGCACGTCCGGTAGGTACTCAACTATTTTCTTCTATCTACCTATGATCTAATCCTATTAATTCCTAATGAACGTTATGCGGAATCGGTGCGGAGGGGTTGCGCGCGGATTTCATGTAGTGGCTTGTCGAAACTTATATAAACTGCGATTGACGACGCGACGTTGGTGTCGGGTTTTCAAACGGTTAATGACATATTTAATTTCATTAATTTTATCCGTGTAAATTAAACGTTACATTGTAATATTATTTGTAAATGTTGTTTGATTATTTTTTTTTCTTTCTAAAATCGCAAACGTCTTCCGCCTCCCTTGACATCTCTTTATGCCCCCTTTGGGGGGCATGCCCCCCTGGTTGGGAACTCCGGCGCTAGACCAACGACATTATGTAACATTTAAAATTATAGTTGGTCTAAAAATATAACGTTTTTTAGTAAATCCATTTTTTTCATTATTTAAATCTAATATTTGTTAGTTACTGTTGTGAATAACCTTGACGGCATTGTACATTTTTTATCGAGATAGGCTATGTAATAGAGCTAGCTCTATTCCAGACTTTATTATATAACTTTTACCAATAGTCCTTAACGTTTTGGCTTTTATTTTCTTAGATAGGTGTAGCTTTCTTCTTGTATATACTAGCTGTTGATGTAAGAGATGTAAGTCTTCCGATATTATTGCCTGCATTGCTCCTGCAGTAATCATTTCCCAAGTTAACTTTTTTCTGTTATAATTTGGCTGCACCGTACTGATGATGATCAACGAGTCCAATATGACCAACAGAAATATGATTGGCTTCCACCTTTTATCTCTGTTTTGTTTTTTATTATTGTTGCGAGATATACCGATATCCTTATCCTTAACATTAGTTTGTTACTGTTTACTTGCATTAACCGTTTCTTTTTGTTTAAATATTCGTTTCACCATTCCTTTCGTAGGTAGCTATAGGTTCCTCGGTGGATTCTGTTAGCTGAAAGTGCCAGGTAAATTTGGAACCGCTCCTTACTCTGTGGCCGAGCTGAAGTCGCGGTTCGTCGTTAGAAACCTTCTCGACGTAAATGACCAACGTCTTCATAAGACTTAAGATTGTTTCCGAGAAAGATAACGTACGAGGCGTAGCACCAACGTCGAAGTTGCCACTCCGACGGTGTTCCTATACACCTCGTGGGGTGTGTGCTCGACCACACGACAAAACGTGAAGGACCGGCATCTCTTGAAATCCATGCGGTGTACACCGCAATTAGAATACTCATATTCAATACATGTAAGAAAAACCCACTGTCAAGTAAGAACCATCGAACTGTTAAAGTATTCTGAATTGCTGGGCCTACAAAAAAGAGACCACACTGTTTCGGGACTATACCACCGATGAACTTCTAGGTTAAGGATGGAGGCAAAAAACTTCGTTCGGCTTCTTTGGTACTATTAAGTGGATAAACGTAGTAATAATATGCAGTACAAGAATAAAAATGGAAGATAGTTTTCTAAGTATTCTGAATATTCACGCACTTAATGAAGATAAAGAAGATGAAGAAAAAAATTGTTTTTTTATAAAAATATAGAAAAATATTTTACCATATTCTTAAAGATAAAATAGAATAAACATAAAAATAACATCAATAACGGACAGAAACTAATTAACCTGGCAAATATAAAAAGTTTATTAATAGTAAGACCAAAGTTTCCAGAGTTTTAGCATAAAAACATCTACAAATATACCTGGCTAGCATCAACTGGAAAGTACTGAAACCAACTAGATCAAGTCATCGTGTAACAAGAACATAAAAGATGATAACAGAAAGCCGAATCCTCAGAAGTAGTATTGCCTAAAATCGGTTTTGATCTTCCAGTCTTGATCTTACTCTTGAGTTTTCGCAAGACCACGACCAAGACCAAGACCGATTAATTTTAGCAAGACCAAGACCAAGACTGACCGTGCAAGATTTGAGAAAGAACAAGACCAAACCTGCGAGACTCTTGCATCTTGCAGTTAGGACTGAGTGTGAGTTAAGGGAGTATAGTAGTTCGTGTATATGCTTAGAGAATGCACATTACGGACAATACCATAAACATACATAGTGAATCAAAATATTCATTAAAAGAACACTTGACACATTTGACACGTACTCAGAGATCATAATTACAACGTAAAAATAAAATATCGACAACGCAACTGCAACTATCAAATTTATGTATGAACTGCACAAACACCTGCCATACTTTGATTCAGACAATCAACATTTCCGGTGCTTTGCTCACATTTCAAACCTTGGTGTACAAGATCTATTAAAGACCCTAGCATTACATAGTAAAACTGACAATAACGGACAAAAACAGCAGTATGAAGCATATGAAGACGAAACTGAGGAAGATAAAAAATATGCGCCAAATATTGCTGACTCACGTATAGCTATAACCATTGATTATAAACCACCACCAGGGGTAGTGGTAGTGTTTTATAATTAATGCTATAACCAAATTACGCAGTACTTTCAGTAAAATAAAAAGAAGTGAGATATTGAAGAGCAAGTTTCAGCTTGGTTGTGAAGGAGCTTACGTGCCATCAAATCTGAATCCCATACTCGACTGTCCAACGAGATAGAATTCCACACGTGATATAATTGGAGTTGTTTAAAATGTGAGACCTGACATTAATATATTTTGCACATCTGTCATCGAATTGAATGATTTTCAAATAACAGATGGTGAATGGCAAACACTCAAAAAAATACGTAAGTTTCTAATAAACTTAAAAATTGGTGGAGAAATATGTTACATTACCCCTAGTCATATTAAAACAATTAGACAAAAAACACTTACAAAAAACCTACACGTGGTACGTAGATGATAGAATGTTGGCAACAACCACTGTTCTACAAGATAAAAATAAAGGAATATTTTGGCCGCAAAAGCTATTTTTTTCTTATTGGATACACATTTTCTAAATGGCTGAGAAACAAAATTTAATTATATCAAAGATTAAATATCAGAAGGCCTAAATCCAACCAGGATTAAGAATACCAGAAAAACAAAAAAGATATTTAGAAAGATCTTAAAGATTTTGTATTTACTATGAATCAGAACACTTACCCTCAATATATTCTGTTTAACAACCAACATTTTGTTGAGCAACATACCTATATACTCTAACTGTCTGACTGTATATTGAGTATGTGCAATTTCTTGTTGATTTTTCGATCCCGCAAAGCAAAACCTTCTACCTCTGGTGCCAGGTGGAGGTAATAAACCTTCTACAAGGTCTTTCCATTTATAAAGCAGGATCATCTCGCTTTCTTGTGCTTGTATGATTCTGTTAAAGTCTTCGTTACCTAAAATTAAAAATTTTCTTTTAATGATCGTAAGTATTTATTAATTAAATTCTAACATCAAAATTGTATGTAATATTACGTACGTGAGTTAAGGTTTATGACAGTTTTAGATTAATTTGTTATTGAAATTCAACTATAAATTTAACGTTTTTTAGATTCTTCTCAAGAAAATGTAACAAATTAAGAGGACGTTCGCAAATGATTTGGAAGATGTTAAAGAAAATGGGTAAGATAAAGTTCTAGAAAGAAAGCGTAAGAAGAATAAAAATAAATGGAAAAGGACATTTAATAAATAAAAAAAAAGTTGTGGCACACAGTATGTAAATAGAAATGGCAATATTGTGATAGTTAAAATATTCAAAAACACGGATTGTAACTGTGCAAGGCGATGTTTTCTCTCCAGGGTTCCAAAAGCAATATAATATAAATATTTCTTAACAACAACAAACATACAGTACATGAAGTTTTAGATTATAGTCGGACAATTTTCAATTAAAGGTGACTAATCTACAAATTGAACTAAACGGTAATGGTAACCATGTTAAATGTCAGCAATAAATTCTTACCGGGGTCATTTTTATTGTGTATGCTTCGCCCATATAAATAAGTGTAAAAGTAATATAGTCTCATAAAATTTACCTCCGTAACAATATAAATTGGTGCGATTCACGAGTGTATATTAAGACAAGTTTTTTGAATAGTTTAAAACATCAGTAAACTTATCAATATTTTGGTGGTCTATATATATATATATATATATATATATATATATATATTATATATATATATATATATATATATATATATAAATATATATATATATATAAATATATATATATATATATATATATATTACGTTCTTAGAAAGAATGTTAATGAGAGAAATATGATATGTTAGCTTAGTTTACTCTTTGAACATTATATATGTGCATAGGCATAGTGTGTTCTATTTCTTGACAATACATTTATTAAATAAACTTTATTATTAACTTTAAAATAGTTTTGAGGTAAGTAAAGTAAATTTGAGGCAAGTTTATTCTTTATATAGTATTAACCCATCAACGGACGCTCAATGTACAAAGAAAAATTTGACAATTAATTTATTAGATTGGAATAAAAACACATAAATTAATAATAATTTACAACCAAAAAGATTTTTCTTCTCATTTTCAAGGAAAACAGTACAATTTTTAATAAAAGAACATGTATCTTAAATGTAAATTAAATTTTAATGTGAAAATTTTCGCTATTAGAGTTATCGACTGGCTATTATCAATATTCATTCCATTTCATCATTTTGTTGGAGATATAAGGATACTTGGGATCACAGCTACGAAGTAAAAACTCGTATTGAAAAAGCCAGCAGCTCTTTCAACAGATTTAAGAATTCTTAGATGGCACGTCTTTAGTTGGAGCCTTACAAAAGATGCCATAAAACGATTGGAGGCATTTGAGATGTGGTGCTACCGATATACATCACACAAGTAACATAACTATTCTCTAGAGGCTAAGAAAAGACAAATAAATTATTAACACCTTAAAAAACAGAAAATTGGGTTACTTCGGCCACATCATGCGTAATGATAAATACCGATTTCTACAGTTGATTCTACAGGGCAAGATTAAGAGTAAAAGAGGCCCTGGATGTAGGCGTATATACTGGCTGGCAAATCTTAATAAATGGACTGGTCTAACATCAACTGATCTATGTGAGCTGCTGTGAATAAAACAAGATGGGTCAATGTGGTCACCAACATCTCTAGAAGATGGGCACGTTTAGAAAAAGAAAATTTTCGAAACATTCGGAGTGTAGATGCATTCTACATCTTTTACATAAATACATAGTATTACTTTTGCACATTCTACATTCTTGTACTATTGTCTCTTTTTGTAATGTGGCCAATATTGTCGAATGTAGTTTCATCTGGTAAAGCAAATTGCAAATGTGCACTTCTTTATCTTCATCCTTTAACCAATGCATATCAACTTGAAGCAGAGTGTGAACCAGATAATATACATATGCTAATATTTCTTTTAAATCTATGTTATTCATTTCAAAATCGTGACGGATATTCTGCGATGCATAAATATTTGTAAAATATAGAATGCTCTCAATTACTTTTTTATCAAAAAAGATGGAAAAAACTTCAATATATGACTTGCCTCCATGGTTGACTTTTATATTATATAAATATTAGTCAGACTGATGTTGAATTACTTCTGAGCACGAAGCAGCACGAAGAAGTATCTGTTGTTACAACTTGAGACAAATTTGGATTTATTATTTTTTCCTGGATTTTTCTTTGGACGATTTATGAATATGAAACCATAAAAATGAAATTATGTTATATTTACTTTTTCATATTAATATCACGAATCCATCTTTTTCTTTTCTCTAATTTATATGTAACCTTTGGAAACCTATAAAAACTACTTACTATTTCTGCTATTATTAGCACAATTAAATACGCAATATGTATTTGCACCCATTTTTGATAAAATGTATGCGTAAAATTTTGTCATATTTCGCCGATACGCACGCTGGCATTGTTTCAGGGTACCCCTACCATAGTTACGCACGGAAAGAATAAGATACCTATTAAAAGACACATGATAATTTAATAAATATATCGATCTTAGATTTAATTAATTACTTATGTGTTTAAATAAATAATTAACATTTCTTTGGTACGCCTCTGCAAAATTGATAAGTGGAATATGATTTCGTTGAAAAGTTATCGTTAAGAACTTCGTTAAGTGCGATGTTGCCAAGTAATCACCTTCAATTAAAAATTATTTCAGTATAGATATACATAGTATAAATGGCAACACTGCGTGCCGTCGACTTTCCACGAACCTCCGTTGTCCCGTCTCCAATAATATGTCATTATACAGTGGTTGTTTAAAGCAATAAGAGCGTAGATTTTTAATATTTATTCTTGTAAACAACATGTCTTTTATACGCCCGAGTAAAAGGTTCAAATGGTAAAATGGCTTTATAGTGGTAATTCTGGAGAGAACAATTCTTTGCGTACAGTCAGTTCATAATATTGTTTAAAATTTTTGCTTGTTATGCCTCAAAAATTTTAGAAAATGTTACACTCAAGAAGTGTCACCAGAAAAAGATGAGGAAAGAAAATACCCTTTTATTTTTAATTCAACTACAAAAAATTGTTTACATTATTAAAAACCGATACAAATACACCGCCTTATTATGGTCCATGTATTTTTATTGAGTTTATGTTATAAGAAATGAACCAGGTATACGTAAGCAAAACAAAAATCTACGGACGGAGATGCATAAACCTTGCGTTGAGCCCAAGAATCTAAGGTGTCGGAGGAGATCAGAACATCACAATTACCTAGTATGAGGCAACGCTGCTGATTTTAGAGCTTTATGTAGTTTGCCATATTTCATTTAAAACTAAACGTACTGTGTCTGCAAAAGGTTCTTTATGGACACACTTCAAGTTAGTGATCATCGAATCTATAAAGTATGTTGCTGTTCGGAAGCATCAGGAACTATTGACAAGAGGGGTCTTTGAGCACCAAGTAATAAAATTGATGTGTCAAAAGTAAAAAAAAAAAGCATATAGAGTTATTTTCGGCATAACAAAGCCATTACACAAGATCTGATACACCTAACAGCAGATACCTACATCCAGACTTTACCATTAAAAAATGTATAATATATGTATGTAGAAAAGTTGATGTTGATGTTGATTTGAAGAAAATGTTGATTATATTGATCAAAAATTTCTTGTGTCAGGACATAGCTGTCTACAAATGATTTTGGTGTCATTGAAAAAAAAATGAAAAAGAAAGAATTCATTTATGGTTTACATGACTGTATTAATATATTAATATAGTAAAAAATGCTAAAAACCAAAGTTCGTTATGATCAATAAAATGAAGGGAGAAAAATTTTTATCAACAACAAATTTGAAGATTGTATTACCAACGGAAAAATGATTCTAAATGACCAAAAAGTAAACTGGTAACAAATAAAATGGTTACGTTAGAGCAAACATAAACCAAACTCTATATTTTGTAAAAAAAAACATTAGTAGAATCAGTGTTTGAATTCGACGAAATTGATATTTCAAAACTAGCATTAAAGGGAAGGCCTCAAATTTTGGATAATGTAGTTCAAAATCCTTGTTATTCTGAGCGTAAATCAGAATGTAATTAAAAAGAAACACAGACATGTTTGATCAAATGAAATTTATTCCACCACAGTATCACTCATTTTACAGAAAGTTGCCAAAAATAAATCAAACAAGAGCTGCATCAGCAAGAGAAAACGATTCAGAATTAAGCGATCTATGCTGAAGAATATATCTATTAAACAATATGTAAATAGTTAGTTTGTTCTATTTCGTGTGGATGTTTAACTTAAGTCATAAGGATAGTCACTTATGCTTTTTTATTTTCAGTGGACATTTAACATATATCATGTAAGTCAATATTTTTGGAAAAAAGTAGTTATTCTTCAAAAACAATAAAAGTTTTTTAATTTGTTTGTTCTTATTTGTATTTATTAATTTTACTGGCTCCTCATTTTTCTGGGAGATTTAATTTGGGAAAAATTTAAAAATTTTTTTATATTTGTAAGTATGTAATTACATATTTATTATAAGATAGTTTTCAATTTAACATTACGTTTCATTATACAAATTTTCGATATTAAGAAATATAAAGGTACTTTACTCTTGAGTAAAATTCGTATTTTTTTATATACTTCGTATAAAATTGATAAGATTTGATACCTGATGATTGCAACTTCGGTTTAACTTACCGCAAAGCCTTTTATATAAAATAACTTTTTTTCGTAAAATGAATAATAACAGAGTTATCATATGTGTAAAAAATAAAAATGATGTTGAGTATCGGTAATTTGAAAAAAATTTGCCAAAAATTGTTTTTTAATTAAAAGGACAAGATTGCACATTGTAACATAGTTTTTAATTATTATCAACTATTTATAATAACAATTTTCGATATTATAAAATGTAAAGATACTTTACTCTTACCGATATACTTAGCTCTTAATTATAACTAGGCACTTAATAGAGAGGACGAAGAAGAAATCCTTTAGGACGAAAGAGATGAAGTAACGGCAACAGACGAGAAGAGAAACCACCACCGATTCCTGAAGTTACAGATGCAGTTAAAAAACTAGCCAGAAACAAATCACCCGGGGTAATCTCCCAGCTGAACTATATAAAGAAGGTGGCCACGATACCATAATGACGAATTACAATAGCTTATAAAAGAAATATGGACACAGAAATCTCCCCCAATGATTAGAATATTGGAATACTACACAAAAAAGGAGATATCTTTGAATGATCTAACCACAGAGAGTTTACGCTATATCAAAATGAAATACTATGTCATCGTATGACACCATATGCAGAACGGATAGTAGGAAAATACCAGCCTAGTTTCAGACGTGGTAAATCAACAATTCATCAGATTGCAACCTTGAAACAAATTTTAGAAAAAACACTGGAATATTGCATTGATACTCATCACATATTTATAGATTACAAAGCAGCCTATGACTCTGTGAACAGAAGAGAAATGTTCAAAGCAATGAAAGATTTAGGAATAACAAATCAGTTGGTAAATTTAACAAAACGAATTCTTGAAAAAGTTGAATGTAGAATACGAATTCAGGGGAAATTGTCTGAACCTTTTAAAACGAATAAAGGGCGGCGCTAGTGAGACCCTCTCTCCTGTAGACTGTTCAATCTGGCTCTGGAAAAAGTAATACGTATGTCACAAATCACAACCATTTGTTCAATATATAATAAATCAGTGCAAATCCTTGCCTATGCTAATGATATTAATATTGTTGGAAGAAAGAAAAACGTTGTACGAGGGACGTATGTATTATTAAAAGAATCAGTTACAAAAATGGGTTTGACAAAAAAAACACCAAAAAAATGAAGAATATGAAAATGGGCACGCAACCACAAATCCTACGATCACCTGTTATAGAAAACGACGTCATCGAAGAAGTGAATGAATTTGTATACATGGGAACGCTCCTTAACACTAAAAATAATACTACCACAGAGATAAACCGCAGAATTTACACGGTCAACAGATGTTATTTTGGGCTCAATCTCCTCCTTAAATCCACAAATATACCGAGAAATACAAAAATAAAACTTAAAACTCTACAAAACAATAATACGCTCAGTCCTAACCTATGGTTCAGAGACCTGAACTCTAACAAAAAGTAATGAAAATAGGTTAGAATGTATCGAAAGAAAGTACTAAGGCGAATCTATGAAGCAGTGAATGACAATGGAGTGTTGAGAAGACGATACAACTTCGAACTTTATTGAATATACCACGAATCAGATATCGTAAAACATATTAAGATAGGTTGTCTGAGGTGGATAGGGTATGTAATTCGGATGGAACAAAATGACCCAGCTAGAAAAACGCTCCTTGATAGACCCATTGGTCAGAGAAGAAGAGGAAAACCCAGAATAAGGTTCCTTGATAACATCGATGAAGACATGAGAAATATGGGAATACGTGCTTGGCGGAGGAAGCCAATGAACAGGAACGACTGGAGAAAAATTCTTGAGGAGGCTAGGACCCACGCAGGGTTGTAAAGACAGCATTATCTAATATTGTCATCTTAATGTTAGCTTCTTTAAGCTACACCCAAGGAAACTGTATACCTGAAAATCTCCATAGGATACTGTGAAAAAGATTGTAAGAAATCAGATTGATTACATTCTAGTAAATAAGAGGTATAGGAACAGCTGCATATCTATCAAAACATACCCGGGGTAGACCTAAATTCTGATCATGTACCAGTTGTAGGTAATTTCAAAGTCAGAATGAAGAAGGTTACAAGTAAGTCGATGAAGAAGTATGATTTTAGAAAACTGAAAGATCCCAATGTTCGACTGAGGGTGAGTGGAAACCTTAATACAAGGGTGCTGACATGCAAAAATGCAGAAACTATAGAAAAAAGTCTGACCATCATACAAGAAACAGTGGGAGAAATAAAATAACAACACCTGAAGAAAGACACAGAGAAACGCAAATCGTGGATGACCGATGAAATACTTGAGCTTATGGATCATAGAAAAAAAAACAAAGAAAATCTCCAAAAATATAAGAGAATACATACCATCGTCAGAAGAAAAATAAGAGAAGCCAAAGAGAAACAAAAAACAGAACAATGTCAAGAAATAGAAGAGTATCAGAGTCGATATGATAACTTCAATGTTCATCGAAAGGTGAAGGAAATAGCTGAAAAGTTTCGAAAACGCAACAGCAGAAAAATAACAGATAATGAATGCAATCGTGCCATAACCAAAGAATATAAAAGAAAGTATGGGAAGAATACTTGAGGAAACTTTTCTATGACCTTAGAACAGTACAAGAGCCCACCGTTGAAGAAAATTCAGAACAAATAAAAATAATAACTGATATATTTAATGAAATATACAAGGCAGGAAAAATACCAGTAGAGTGGCTCAAATCGGAGTTCGTACCATTGCCCAAAAAACCAGGAGCAAAAGTTTGTGAAGATTATAGGACAATAAGCCTAATGAGCCATCTGCTGAAGCTGTTGTTAAAGTCCACAAGGAATCTACGTTCCTGTAGTTGGCTGTATACCATGTATTAAAAATTTATTTAAAAATCCTTTATAATAGGTATATATATATATATATATATATATATATATATATATATATATATATATATATATATATTATATATATATATTATATATATATATATATATATATATATATATTTCTGTTGTTAAAGGTCATCCACAAAAGAATTTACCAAAAATGCGAGGAACAAATTGCGCCCAATCAGTTTGGATTTGTGAACGAGGAAAGCTTTATTTAGCGTGCAAATCTTGTTTCAGAAATGTAGAGATGTCAGCTGTAATGTTTTTGCATGCCTGATTAACTACAAGAAGGCTTTCGATAGAGTCAGGCATAAACAAATGATGGAAGTGCTGAAGAGGACAGGGATTGATGAAAGAGACTTAAAAATTATAGCTAATCTGTATTGAAATCAATCAGCGGTACTCCTAATAGATGAAGAATATACAGAACAGGTCAAAATCTTAAGAGGAGTGAGACAGGGGTGCATAATTTCACCACTGATATTCAATCTGTACTTGGAGCACATTTTTGAAGAGGTCCTAAAAGATATTGATGAAGGTATATCAATAAATGGAGTCAAGCTTAATAACCTGCGGTATGCAGATGATACAATAGTGTTTTCCAATACCATAGAAGGGCTACAAAACTTAATGAACAAAATAACAGAAACAAGTAGACCCTATGGACTGGATATAAACACCAGCAAAACCAAGCTAATGATCATCAGCAAGCAAAACATAACTGGAGCAAATCTGTATGTGAACCAAATGAGAATTGAACGTGTCTCACAATACAATTACTTGAGAACTATAATCAATGAGTCCTGGGACAATACCCAAGAGATTAAATGTCGCATCGGAAAGGCCAAAAGTGCATTCTTGGCTCTGAGCTCTGTGTTCAAAAGCCATGACCTCACGCTGAAAACAAAACTAAGGCTCCTTAAATGTTACGTGTACTCCGTGGGTCTGTATGGAGTAGAAACGTGGACATTGAAGGCGGAAACTCTATCAAAACTTCAGGCGTTTGAATTGTGGTTATACAGAACAATCCTGAAGATACCATGGACAGACAAAGTCGCCAATGAAGAAGTACTGCGGAGGATGAACACAACCGCGGATTTGGTCAACGTTGTGAAGAGCCGTAAGCTGAAGTCCTTGGGACATATAATGAGAAATCAAGGCAGATACGAGCTACTCCAATGCATTTTGCATGGTAAAATTGAAGGAAAAAGAGCCCCAGAATGAAGAAGAATATCATGGCTTGCTAACCTGGGAGCATGGTATAGAAAAACCTCAACACAGCTATTTCGTATAGCAACCAACAAAATCATCATAGCCAAAATGATCGCCAACGTTCGGAACGGACAGGCACTCTAATAAGAAGAAGACGAAGTCATCTTAGGTTTTAGCTTTTTATAAAGAATAACTTTTTTCGTAAAATTAATAATTAAAAAGTTTCCCATATGATGCCGACTTAATTGGTCACACTGTATATACATACACATGAATGTACTTATTTGTATCTTCTTTGCTATTTTGCTACAACCATTAACAATTTGACATATAGTTCTCTATACGGTTGTCAGTTAATTAAAGTTTTGTTGTCAAAATCGAAAAAAATAACCTAATTTTTGTAAAAAGGGGCGCGGTTTTAATAATTCATATTTGTTTTACTTAATAGGTATTAAGGCATACAAATGACGACTAATAACGAACAAAATGTAAAACCTGAACTGAAATCTGATCCATTGAAAGACAATTTGAAAGTGCAACGATTGGATAGTGATACGGACACTAATAAATTAAAACGCGATGATGCAAAAACCGAGATATCTACAAAAGCTGCCCCATCTGAAATTTCTGCAGAACCAATTTCCACATCAACATCACTAATAGTACATGGTCCATCAAATAGATCTTCATCCACGAGTTCAGAGTTAGAGTGGGAGGACAAAATTACTGTATTTATTAATAAAGAAGATAAACAGATGATCCTGTATGAATATGCAAATTCCTTGGCAATTCAAGCATTTCTTAAAATGTGCAACTTGGGTTATGATATCGAACAACGTGAAAATGCTGCCGATATGTCCCCTACGCGAACTATCCCATTCATCAAAGTTGAAAAGTGTATAGTTGGAGGGCTGGAAAATATCGTGCATTTCATAAAAAATAAGAATATAAATTTATCAGATAAATTATCACACGATCAGAAAATTGATTTGAATTCATATATGGCTTTGGCTAACAATTTAAAGTTAGTAGAAATTTATATTTGTTGGAGAGATAAGGCAACTTATAAAGAAGTAACTAGGTACTACACATAATTTTCTTACTTATTTTTTATTTTGCTTTATTATTCTACCTTAAAAGCTCCTTCGTGTAAATTAATGAATAATTTACAATTTAACTTTAGCACTCAAGTTTTCTATTTTCGTCAATTTCATTTAAGCCATCAAATATCAAATGTATATTTTTTCGATATCAAATATAATTACATTTTTTTTTCGACGTAAATTCTTAGTTCCTAAGAAAGTGATAACAAATGAACTTGATGAAATTAAAACACTAGTAAAAGAAGAACAAGGTTTTAGATCGGGAAGATCATGCAAAGATGCTATATTTATAATGAGGCAAGTGCACGACAATTTATTAGAATACAATAAACCGACATATCTATGTTTCGTTGACCTTAAGAAGGCATTTGGCAGGGTCAAATTTAAGGAGTTATCCACTTATTGTATGCAAGAGATATCTCTAGGAATAATCAAAACGATCGAAAATATGTACCAAAACAACACAATAAAACTAAAAGTAGACGAAGAACGAACTGACTCAATTGCAGCTGGTAAAAGGATAAGACAGGGAGATTCCCTGTCTTATCAAATAAATAAATATCACTCTCACAGTGATATAAACTATCACAGGGATATAAAATAGTGATATCACAGTGATATAAAATATCACTCTCACTTATAAATAAATTGACTCTGACAGTGAAACTGATTTACAGCGTATGCTGCACCAATTTAATATAATTACGAAGAAGAAGAAACTTCCTATTGAACTGTTGATGCTAATTCCCCTGTAATTCCAACAAATATTTATGGTACCTTTTATGTAGATCGATCTTATATATGATCGCCCTTAATCAAGCAGTCATTAGATAAATTTTCTAACATTTTCAATAGTAATACCACTAGTGATTCAATTTTCGCGATAAGTCTGTCGATTTACTTCTAAACGAAACTGAGTTGCTTGAAGTGAGTGTTTTCTTTAAGAAACTCAGTTGAGTTTAGCAATAAAAGACAGATAGAAAGCTAAATTAAATCACGAGCGGTATTTTATTAGACTATTTCATGAACAAAGTGATAGGTCAAAAATTCAGTAGAATGAGAGGGAGGAATTTAATAATAATACATTTTTTGTTTTCTAATTTATAGTTGCGATCCACACAGAACATCATAAATTGTCTCCATATATAAAATTTAGATTTTCTTGTCTTACTCGGTATATTTTCTTCAATGTTTTGGTTTAAAGTTCGTTTGAAGTACCACCGAAACGACTCTTGACGTATACAGCTACAATAATTTTTTTGGCAAACATCAAACTTTGCTTTGCGATCGGTATCCATGGTTACATAGTGGAAAACACGAAGCTGGTAGACCAATCAGAATTGAAAGACAGTTTGTTTATGTGAAAATTTTAAGATGAGTGAAATAGTCAGTAAAATATCTTGTCTATATTTTACGCGTTCAATGGGAATATATCCTTGCTCCGGATATTTGCAACTTTTTATTCCTTTTAATATCACTTTAATCCCAGCTACCGTTATTTCCTACACTCCTTCTTCGTTTATTGATCTGATTACGCCTCTTTCTTCTTTAGCCCTTAAACTGACTTCTATTCTCTTTTAATAGAGGTTTGTACTATTCGTTCTTCTTTACTATATTAATTCCATCTTTTCTTCCTTTTCTTAGATTCTTTAAGGTCTTCCACGCCGGTGAAATCCCTATTTCTTCTAGACATCTCTCTACCTCATCACATTTTTCCACCCATTGTTCCTTTTTTCTCTTTGCTACCACTCGTTCAATTTATTTGTTTAATCTTACGTATATTCGTCCATCTTCGGAAACTTTAGTAACTAGCTACTTTTAATAAGCTTTCTGTTTTTTCTCTGCTACTTCTTTTTTTCTTCTGACCACCATTCTGGATTGTCTATCACTACTTCGTGACCCTTTATTTGGATTTCTAGTAAAATTATTTGTTTGCCTATCTTTGTCCAACTTTTAATATTGTTCCTATTTTTTTATGTATAGTTATAGAACCTCTCCTTTTTGCTCTAGAACTTTTACATAGTCCACTACAGAAATTAATATATTCTTCTCTTCTTTTATTTTCATTTGCTTTTTTCTTTGTTTTTTTAAGGATACATATATTTACCTTATTATTATTCTTTAGTCCGTATTTTCATGTATATTCCAAGGCTTTTGATTGAAACATTTAGATAGTTTTTATAAAAAACGAGTTGCTAGCCTATTGTTTCAAACCTTCGCCTTTAACTAACTTTGAGACCACCTCCACTGTAAATCCACCCAATAGAGTAAAGGCGGCGTTAATAAGTGTTCTATATGAAATTATCTATAAATATCTACAGAATTCTAAATTAATTACACAGTTTTCAAGTTCAGATTATACACTACCCCAAGAAATTAACGCACCATTTACAAAAACAAAAAAAGCTATTCATTGGTGTTTTAAATTTAATTGTATTCATTTTTATATGGAATATACCATGTATTTGGAATGTTTTTATCAGGTTACTTCTAATAATTTTTCTGCTTCAAACGGTTTCTAAGGAACACAAAACAAAGGTGCTGTAAATTTGTTAATGTCGATAAGAGATTAGTGTCATTTTTCAGCAAATCGAGAAATTTGACTAATGAAGAGTGTGCTCAAATAGTGGTTTTGCACGAAGAAGGTTGAAGTTAGAAATTTAGGGGAACGGATACGCGTACACCATACATCGGTCTCACGAATGATGGAACGGTACAGACAGACCGGTAGTCACTCTAGGCGTCCAAGACAAGGTCGACATCGTGTAACAACGTCCATTCAAGACCGTTTTTTACGACTTCGCACCCCAAGACAACGATTTGTAATTACAATATTGTTCTGAAGCTATTTTCTTGTGGCATTGTAAATTAATTACTATTTATAACTGGGAATAAGCCACATTAAAGATAAAAATACATTTATTGACGTTTCAATTTCCAATTCGGAAATCGTTCTCGAAAGAGAACGATTTCCGAATTGGAAATTGAAACGTCAATAAATGTATTTTTATCTTTAATGTGGCTTATTCCCAGTTATAAATAGTAATTGTAATTACAAGATTGCAAGAAGCTTACAATCCCAACTTACGGATATTCATAATGTTCGAATCAGCTGTAAAACTGTTCACCAACGTCTCAAGGAAGGTAATTTGGTAAATCGTATACCTGCCAGAGGGCCAGCCTTGACTGTAGCTCATCGCAGAGCGCGTTTAGAATTTGCACCAAATCCTATCCATTGGTTGGAGGCTGATTGGAATAGAGTTCTATTTACAGATGAGAGCAGATTCTGTCTTTACAGTTGTGATAGGCGTATTCGCGTGTACCGACGTCAAAACGAACGGTATGCACAGTGTAACATGCGAGGAACGACGTTATTCGGTGGAGGACTGATTATGGTCTGGGGTGGCGTTTCTTTAACGGGTAGTACAGACTTGGTGGTGTTGAATATCGGTGCAATCAACGCTCACCGATATATCGTTGACGTTCTTCGAGACCACGTTGTGACATTTGCTCCTTATATTGTCGAAAATTTTGTTCTAATGCACGATAATGCACGACCGCACGTTGCAAATATAATGCAAAATTATCTAAAGGAAGTTGGAATCGACGTTATAAATGGCCAGCGAATAGTGCCGATCTCAATCCTATAGAGAATGTTTGGGGCTTGCTTGGTAAACAGTTTCTACTTTTAGAATTAGAAATTTTGTTGTTAATTGGTTTAAGATTGTGTTAAGTTTATGAATACTGAAGATAGTTAGCGACATCACTAAATATGTTTGTTTTACAAAGTAAAGTATTATGAAATGTCAGTCAGATACCCAAGCGGGCTGGGCGGCCGGTTTCTCATTCGCTTCACTGCGAGTCATTCAGTGGATGTAAGTTCGATCGCCAGCTCTGTGTACAGAAAACAAAAAGGCTAACGCAGCAGTTTAAAATTCTAGAAGAATCTGCGGCTTACATCAGAATATGCTGGTATCTGATCGGCCTATGGTAGAGCAGTACGGCAAAGGCTTGCGGCTCGGTGATACTCCTCCATAGATCCCTACCGGAAGGGCGTACCGCCTAAATACCGGTGTATAAATATATAAGTATTACGAGGAGGAACTAATTTGCCTAATGAGTAAGATACAAAAAACAAGTGCACAATACGGACTCAGACTAAATATCACAAAAACCAAATGGATGTTAGTAAGCAAAACCCAACAACCACCACAGCAACTGATATTAGACAATGAAAGAATTGAACAGGCAAGAGCATCGTTCACTAGCATGAAGCAAATTTTTACCTCACCCTACCTCTCAAAATTCGACTTCCGAAATGTTATGCATTCCCGGTTTTTTTATATGGAATGGAGGCGTGGACAATGACCGCAACATTGATGAAAAAAGTAGAGGCCTTCGAAATGTGGGCTTACCGACGTATATTACGTATATCCTAGACTGAGCACGTGACCAACGAAGAGGTACTACGCCGGGTAGGTAAAGAGAGAGAGGTAGAAATAAGTATAAAGAAAAGAAAGTTGGAATACTTGGGTCACGTTATGAGACATAATAAATATAGAGTACTACAGCTGATCGTTCAAGGAAAAATAGACAGCAGAAGGGGTCCAGGGAGGAGAAGACACTCGTGGCTCCAAAACTTGCGGCAATAGTTCGGATTGTCATCTGCTGAACTATTCAGATCTGCCGTAAGCAAAGTCAGAATAGCCATGTTGATTGCCAACGTTCGGGGCGGACAGGGCACATGAAGGAAAGGAAGTATTACGAAATAAAATGCTTTTCATTTCAGTTAATAGTTTCCTGTTATATATCCTTTTAATAAAAAATTCACGGCCCCTACGAATTTACATGTTTATAATAATTTTTTAAACAAGCATCCTTTACTGAAGTGATTAATTTCCTATCAAACTTTTTAATGCATCTTCTATTTTAGATTGAAAAATGGATCTGTGTATCCGTGGCCATTAAACTGGATTCATACTCTCATGAGACGAAACGAAGCGAATAAATACCTAAAGAGCTTCGAGTGGAACGATAAAAGTTTATCCGAGGTTCTTTATGAATTCGAACGCACTTGTGAAGCTTTAAACCGGAGATTAGACGGAAAAACCAAGTTTTTTGAAATTGGCGATACAGAGCTTGATGCCTGCGTGTTTGGGCATTTTTATGCCATTTTGTATACTCCTTTACCAAAAAATTATCTAGCAAATTATGCAAAAAGATTTCCGAAATTGATCAAATTTGTAAAAAGAGTTAAAAAAGAATACTTCTAAAATTTACATTAAACTTTTTGGAAATAATACTTAGTTGTTAATCTAAAGTACACTGTTATTATCTTCAAAGAAAATGTATCACAATTTTAGTTAAAAATACGTTTATTTTGAAGTTTTGATTTCTACTTCGGAAATCCAGTCCAGTCTTTCAGTAGATTGATCTCTAGAAAGAAGACGAACAAGCTACATTTTACTGTGGTTGTTAATTTTAACACCCCAAATAGACGCAAAAAAGTGTGCTACTCCTAAACCCAGGCTTTCCCATAACACCACCCTCGTAAGGGGGAAAAGCGGAAAACATCGATTAACCAAGAATCTGTACGCTGCAGAAAAAATGTTTCAAACAAGAAATTTACCTGAAATAATTTTAAACAAAATATTAGTTAGCATTTTTTATATAGAATGAACTGTTCTCTCAGAAACAACGCTTAAAGGGATCAACGATTTGAATGCCAGTTACTCGAGCGAAATCAATGTTAGTCAAAAAGACTAGGCTTCAGCAAATTGAAAAACCAATCAAAAAACCAAAACACCACCTCCGATTGTAGTAGGTTTTCAAAGTGCTGTTGACCTGAGCAAGCTCCTGACTGAGGCTGGTATTACCTTCACTATGAAAATCATAACAGTGAAGTTATAAAAATTAATACAGCCAATAGCGATCATTACAGATCTTTAATAGAGAAATTAAATACGAGTAACCTTTCGTACCACACTATGAAAATAAGCAAGAGAGACCAATTAGAGTTGTTGTTAAGAAATTACATCACACATGGCCACCAGAGGAAATAGTAAAAGACCTTCATAAACGACAATATAAAGCCAAAGAAATTCAAATGGAAAACTAAAAAACAACTAGATATGTTCATCCTAACATTTAGACAGGATGAAGATATAAATAGAATTTACGGCATAACGGACATACTTAGTAAGAGAGTTGAAATAGAGCCATTAAGGAGTTCCAGATTAGTCCCACAATGTAAAAGATGTCAGGCTTACGGACATACGTGGAAAAAATTTTGTAAAATGTATTGGTAAACACCTTACTAAAGATTGCCAAAAACCATCAGAAGATAAACCAAAATGGGTTCATTGTGGAGAAAACCCTCCTGCAAACTACCGCGGATGTTACGTAGCTAAAAAACTACAAACAATAAGAAACGAGAGAACAAAAAAAGACAATGTTATTAAAGCGCCCCATAGAGTTATTGAAAGCAAAAACTAAAAACGGCAGAAGTCAGTGAAAATAGAAGTTACAGCGATATAACAAATAATTCAAGGAGACATGCATTATTGCAACAAGAAAAAGGAACTGATAACACAATAAAAATGATATTGGAAAAGCTCACCAAGATTGATGACAAAATAACTCAAATCGATATCAGAGTTAACCGAATAGAGCATAGCGCTAAAGGAGGTATTCCGAAAATCAGAAATGGCTAAAGACCTCCGAATAATGGCGTGGAACGTAAATGGACTGTTACAACATCAGATCGAGTTGCAAGCAGTACTAGATATTGAGAAAATTGATCTGTGTCTCGTTTCTGAAACACACTTAACTAAACAGTCATATGTAAATTTAGGGGGTATAGAGTATATTCTACTGTACACCCAGATAATACAGCTAAAGGAGGAAGCGCTATTTTAATTAAAGGTAACATCTTGCACCATGAGGAATTAAAATATGCAACTGAGAACATACAAGCTGCAACAGTCTCTGTGAAGATGAAAACACATACCTTAAATATAATTTCAATATATTGTCCTCCTAGACACTCAATTAAAAGAGATCAATATAAAGAGTTTATGAACAATTTAGAAAAAAGAAACATCATCGGTGGCGACTTTATTGCAAAAAATACCCACTGGGGCTCTAGTCTAACTACAAGTAAAGGAAAAGAACTATTGTCAGCTGTTTAGGAACAAAAGGGTGAAGTAATCTCTACTGGTAGACCAACATACTGGCCTACCGATAGGAACAAAATTCCAGACCTGATAGTTTTTTTTTTATTTACAAAAATATCTTAGCCAACATACTGGCCTACCGATAGGAACAAAATTCCAGACCTCATAGTTTTCTTTATTTACAAAAATATCTTAGCTAACTATCTGGATATCAATGACGGCTGGGAGATGAACTCTGATCACTCACCGATAGTTTTAACTATGAGTGATACAGTGATTAAAAAAGAGTTCAATCGAATATTGACTAATAAAAAAACTGACTGAGAGAGCTTCAAAATAAATCTTGAACACAAAATTAATCTTGCTGTGTCATTGAGAAACACGAGGCAACTTGATGACGAATTAGAAGTTTTTATAAAAAATATCCAACAGGCAGCTTGGGAAAATACTCCCAAAATAACTTCTAGAACAGAAGGGAACAACTATCCAAAATAAATCAGAGAACTCATAGTAGAAAAAAGGAAGTTAAGAAAAAATGGCAGCAATACAGAGCTCCACGAGACAAAACTAATGATCTCATAATAAAACTATTAAAAAATCAACCAAGAAAAGCCATAGTTAAACTGACACACCTAATAAATGCTGCTTTTAGATTGAGATATGTTCCCAGACTCTGGAAAGTAGCCGAAGTGATTGTGATCGCCAAACGGGTAAATCTCCTAATGAAGTGACATCCTATCGACCAATATCACTCCTTCCGGTCATGTCAAAACTATTTGAAAAACTTCTATTGAAAAGATTAAAACCAATAATAGAAAAAAAAATCTTATACCAAATCATCAATTTGGTTTCAGAAATCAACATTCCACTATAGATCAAGTTCACAGAATAACGAATATAATAGAAAAAACATTAGAAAAAAATAAAGTCTACTCTACAATCTTCTTGGATGTAGCACAGGCGTTTGATAAAGTCTGGCATGACGGTTTAAACTATAAACTAAGAACGTTCATGCTTAAACAGTATTTAGAAATCTTGAAATCATACATTGTGAATAGATATTTCAGAGTAAAACAAGAAGAAGTGTACACCGACTTAAGGGAGATCAAAGCTGGCGTGCCACAAGGTAGTGTCTTAGGTCCGATCCTGTACCTATTGTATACGTGTGACATTCCAGAGCAAGAACAAAATACTATTGCCACCTTCGCGGATGATACAGCCATACTAGCGATAGGAGACACTAGTGAAGAAGCGACTGATAAGTTGTAACTATCAGTAAATAAAATAAAGGCAAGAAAGCGCTGGGAAGATACAGTAAATAGAAACGCACAATCCATTTGTGGATTGTGTGTCACTGTTTACTGGTAATCCAGGAGTCCATGTAAGGAGAAGATCAACCACAGGCAAGGTTGGAGGCAAAACATAAAGGAGGCCAAGGCTCAATTTGGGCTGTAGTTCCGTAGAAGAAAAAGAACAAGGTTGTATTAAAACGTAACGTTGGTAAATGAATGGATTAGAATTATGATTGGGTAACTTTAACTTCTGAGAGATAATAAAATTAAAAGCTGCATTATTGTTTAAACTGTCGAAATATACCAAGGCTTCAAGAATTGTCAGGCAATAAAAATTGAGCAATTGGAAGGTAAAATTTACAAGGTAAAATTGAAGGCAAAAGGGCTCCAGGACGAACAAGAATATCCTGGCTTGCTAACTTGAGAGCATGGTATAGAAATACCTCAACACAGCTATTTCGTATAGCAACCAAAAAAGTCATCATAGCCAGATTGATGGCCAAAGTTCGGAACGGACAGATACCCTAAGAACAAGAAAAATTGAGCAATTGGAAGGTAGTTTGAACATGTTTTTCTGTCGACTTGGATGGAATGTAGGAAGCACATCCAGTCCCTTCCAATATTTTGGATGCATCTGTATAGGTTACAATTGCTTTGAGCCATTTTTTGTAAAGGAAATTAAGATGCATAAATCTAATAATGAATCGAGGCGCTGGACGAGAAACGAGTATTCCTGTCTTTCCTGATTATTGTTTTTTTTTTGTCATCATGTTCTCTTTTTGTTTGATTAACTTTTAGGAATTTTTATATAAGGTTTTTCAACTCAAATAGATATACTTTTTGGCTTAGCGATGTAGCAATTATTTAGGAATGTAACTTTTTTTATAATATTAGCATTAAACTAGCGGACCAACTCGACATCGAGTTTTTTAAATGAAATTTTTATTTTGCGAGAAAAATTAAGAGATCAATACAAACAATATAAGCAAGAATATACATAACATTCATCAATAATAATGCAAGTAAAAAGTGTATTAAATATCACGAAATATTTCGTCGAAAACAATGTTTTTTGTTACAATGTCTCCATTTTCTGAAAACTTTTGCTTGGCATCGGGAGTTATGTAAACTTTTACTTTTTACTTTTTAATAAAAACGAAACCGGAAGTCGACCTCAAAACCGGAATGCAATTTTTAGTTCATCAAATGTCGACATGGATTTCATTTAGCAGTTAATTTTGCATGCTGATCACGAATTCGGTATCAGATTTGCTCTATCTGGACGTTTTATGCGCGTTTCGAGTCACTTCCGGTATTGGATCGCAACCGAAAGTACATATTTAGATTCGTCTCGACGAGACCTTTCGATCCATATATACATTGTGGGGTTTAAAACTTAAAGTAAATTTTAACTTCCGGTCATCTCAAAACCGGAAGAGAATTTTTGTACCAAAAGTATATCTTGACAATCTCATACGTAATACTAATAATATTCCGAAAAAATATTTTAATTATCTAATATGGTTTTTGAGTAAAGTGGTGGACAAGAAAAGGGCTTAGCGTCTTAGTATATAAGATATATTATCGGAATATTAATATTAATTATTTTTCATTTATTACATTTATTATTTCTTAACACGTATCTGGCTAAATATCTAAGTGCTAAAGCCACAAAAAAGGTATTTTTACAATAAAATATTTAGATAATTGTTACAATATCCGTCATGTACAGAATTTCTTATTAAGCGGGGTCCGGGTTCTTCACGTTTAGCTTTTATAATAATCAACATCTATTAACTAAAAGTTAACTTACCTCTGGTAGACATTAAGGATTCATCAAAGAGCCTCGCCATAATAAGTTTAAGATTGTTTGCCTCAATGATATAATCATCATCAGACAAGTGGCCTGGATTTACTAATAAGTTTGACTTTCTGAAAAAATAATTTGGCTGTTTCTCTAATAATAGTTTGGCTACTACTTTGTCCAAAAGTCGTAATAGATGAGTCGATAGGTATAAAGGTGCCCATGATAACATATCGGTAATTGGATTCCTTGAATTACATTCCAAATCTTCTAGTAATATTGTTAGCAGAAGATATTTAGACAGGATCTTGTACGACACCTAAAATATTAGGTAGTATTTAGTAATGACTTTACTAACTTTCAAGGCAAGTGCAACACTGTAATAGTCGCATAATTTAAAATAAAAACAAAACACAAATGTGTTCTTTTTGATGTGCTTATCTCTGACGACTGCTGGGACATCATGGCAACCTTTTTCAGGACAGCAACGCAAAAAAGCTGCATAGATGTAACTAGACAGAGAAGACGTAACATTGCAGCATTCTTACTTTTATACTCAGGAAGAGATTGCGGCTTTTAAAAAAAGTCCTTATCCGGTTGAAAGTGGTTCTAGCTTTTCCAATGCGCACTCTTATCTCTGCCTTTTTGGTCCATTCCTTATTTATTATGTTGCCGAGGTAATTGTAGTGCTTTACTTTTTCTATTAGGGATAGTGCCGGATTAACGGTGTTCCACCTAAAATTCTAACCACCGTTCCAGAGTAGTGGTGTGGCCACTCAATGAACAACTAAAATGAAAAATGAAAAACTTACAAATAACCATACGTCTCACCGAATATCAGAAAATATTTCCTAGAGGCTATAAACTAATAAATAATATTAACCATAAATTTCAGATCGCTGATTCAATTTACTCCTCTATTTTCATGTTCTTTCTTCTTCATCGCTTCAGAAATCAGACACTTCTCTCCATTCTTTCTCTTCTCTCAACATTATTTCTCTTGATAAACATAATATATCATGTTTCTTTCATCCAGCCCGAAACCCATTTGTCTCTCGAAGTCTCCCCTCTCATTTGTACAGTTCTGGCAGTTAACAATGTGATTTTTAACTGCCAGATTTTAAAAGCAGATTTGAACTTACATTCCCACCACAGCCTCATATCAGGAATAAGGTCCTTCATCCACCTTGCCATTCCGCTATTAGTTGCTCATCTCATCTATATTTCCATCCATCCTCCTCGCATACACCCTTGCTCGTTCTTTGCACAATAAAACGATCGGTATTACCGTTCCAATGACATACAGAGGCTCTTTTAAAATATATGAACTCATATGTAATCACTTATATGTATTCGAATATATAATATAAATCAAACATAACATAAATCATTCAAAAATATGTGGTAAATGGACTAGTTTCCATGCCAAAAACACTATCATCATCATCATCTAAGTCTCCATCAGCTTGGCGTATGTCACAGTGTTCAGTGGGCTGTATCACACGGGGACAGCGTAGGTTACCACCGACTGGTAAAATTCCATTTAGCTCCCTTCTTTTGGTGCTACCTGGGATTAAAGATTGGAGGAGGCATCCTTCACCTTCAATTCTAAGATTAGCGGTTCGATTTTACTGAAAGTTTCCAATTACTCTCAGATTTTTTGTTGGTAATTTCTGCTTCTTTTAGTATTTTTATAATCTTGGCGTATTATGCTCGATCAAACGTTTTCTCGTAATCAACCAGACATGCGTATACATTACAATGACGTCTCCCCATCTTTGAAATAACTTAACCAAAACTAAAAAATATTTAACTTAAAAATTAACTTTATTAAGGCCCTTTCAGACAAAGCGTCAGATGTCTAAAAGACATTGGTGAAGGAGACGACATTGGTGAAGAGGGCGTTCTCTTAATATTAAGGGTATATTTTTTAAGATATATATATAAGAAAATAAATCAATTGTTTACGTAATTAGTTATTTAGTACCTGATGTTTTCTCGTACCTCTAGATCGATCTATATCATCTAGAATGAGATACATCATATCGAGTACAGTCCTTACAGTACTATTGGTCCCGTAGTGTGACAAAATCACCTGTTCAGCTGCTGGTACTCTGATTTGCCATGCGGAAGAATGAACCCCAAACCCAACAAGATAAGTTCCCTAAAAAATTGTATTTAATATTATATTACACAAAAGATATGAATAATGTCAAATATTACAAAAGTGTGTATAAAAGTATATAGCGTTTTATATACTTTTATATCTTTAGAGACTAGTAATTTTTGAGAAAAACTGTATGGATTTTTTAATAAATATACATTTGAGTTTATCTAATTCAGAATTTAAATGTTGTACCTTTACTCCTGTCGTCAGAGACGAAAATGCCACTTAACCTCTAAGAATAATACGAACAAGTTAAATTTTGAGTCAATTTTAGGACGCTAAAAAAGATATAGGGGCCACCTATACCCCCGGACTTTTCCCTTAAACCCCCACATAGAGGGGAGAAAACGGAAAAAATCGATTTTCCAAAAATCTATACGCCATAGAAAAAAATGTTTTAAATAAAAAATGTAGCTAAGATAATTTGAAACGAAAATGTTTTTTAGTATTTTTTGTGTAGAATGAACCGTTCTCTCAGAAACCACCATTGAAGCGTTCGGCGATTTTGAATATGAGTTACGCGCGTGAAATCAATGCTCATTAAAATTTTTATCAGCTCTACAGTAAAAATTCAATATCTTTTGTATGCAATTTTTGTATTTTTTATGATTCTCATGAGATCAATACAATGTATCCCTTTCATTGATCGGTCACTATAGAGTTTCCATAACTAAAACCTAATTTTCAAAACATGTAGCATGAAATTTTAGTTTATAGTTTGGCAACAAATGTAAGTCATTTGAAACACGCTTAAAAAACGATGAATTTAAACTTTAACATTACAAACAATCTAAAATGTTTAAAACTGCTTTTTATTTAATTATACTAGTACGTTTTACAAAAGTACTTAACATATGCTATAAACTACGCCCAAAACCGTCCTCCTGGATGCATTTCCCGTGACGTGCGATCATTTGTAATGTAAAAGTTTAAATTCTGCGTTTTAGTCATATTTCAAATGTTGCCTCATATTTGTTGCCAAAAACCAAAATCGAATTTTCATGTTATAGGTTTTGAAGACATCTCCTACAATTTAAATTTCACTATGACCGGTCAATGAAAGTAATAAATTTTATTGACCTTAAGAGAATCGTAAAAAATGGCAAAAATCGCTCAAAGTTTATTATTGAACAGCTTTATAGCAACTAACTTCATTTGCGGCAAAATACAAAAATTGCATATGAAAGGAAAGGTGTACTCTTCACCTTTAAAACTCATTTTGATTTTTGTCGATAGTATACTCTGATCAAAAGATTTTTTTACCATCCAGTTGATACAAATTTTATTTACCATGACTTACTTACTTGCTTTCCGCGTCCGAAACACCAACAGCTTTAAATTTTGTATTTTTAATGGTTGGCCACATAGATGACCTTGTCATTCGCTAAGAATATGTCTTCTTCTGTGCAGGTCTCTCTAATGTCTGTGCATGATAGTAGATGGTGATTATTCTGAACGGCACCACATTCGCAGGTATCGTCCTCCTGGTATCCCTATTTTTTCAGGTTACTAGCACAACGTGAAACGCCAGTTCTTAGTCTGTTAAGCGCTTTCCATTTGAGATACTGCAAATTGTGTCCAGCAACCATTTCCTCTGAGGGAGCAAAATGTGTTGTAGTTGACGCTTGCCATAGATGTATTCGGCGCGTCTTTGGCTCTTCGGGAAGGGATTTTTATTGATTTCACGCATGAAACTGACATTTAAAATCACCGGTCGCCTCAAGCGTTGTTTCTGAGAGAACGGTTTATTCTAGGCAAAAAGTTCTAATAAACATTTTTGTTCAAAATTATCTTTATTTTTCTACAGCATGCAGATTCTTGTTTAATCTATTTTTTTCCGTTTTTACCCACCTACGGCGGAATTTTAGGGGAAGCCTGGGGCTTAAAGTGAATCTTTTTTGGGGTCCAAAAATAAATTTTTTCGGCAAAATTCAGCTTGTTCGTATGATTTTTAGGGGTCAAATCTCTGACGAATGGACTACTTATCTGTAACAGTTTTTACAAATGCTTCTTCCAAGCCGCTCTGTTTAAACTAGGTAGGGTATAAAAGAGAACTTTGTAGGTTCTTACTCCTTTTCGACTTTTAGTAAATTTTATATTCCTCGTTAATTTGGGAATATTTGTTTAAATGTGGGGGAAGGTATATAATTTAATTTCTATTTATGACTAAATTGTCTTTTTGGCTAAATTGTCGACTAAAGGGGTTACGTTTTAGGCCTCAGTGCACTTTAATTTATGTTAGTATTATACGTTTGCCCCCTGTTCTTAAATTGCATAATCTTCTGTGCAATATTTAGTTTAATATATTCTAATTTGAGGCTAACACCTAAACTTGATTTCTATCAGCCCAAAGAACAGGCAGGCTTCAGGGCAGGATATGGCACAAATGACCATTTGCATACCATAAATATCTTAATAGAAAAGTGCATCGAGTACAACATACCACTGGTTCTTGCATTTGTCGATTACGAGAAGGCTTTTGATTCTGTAGAGTTTGAAACAATACTGGAAGCCCTAAATCAAAGCCGAGTAGATTACAGGTACACGACACTAATCAAAAACATCTACGAGAACGCTACATTAAGTATACGATTACACGAAGACACAGAAAAATTCAGCTTAGGTCGAGGAGTTAGACAAGGAGACAATATTTCACCAAAATTGTTCACGGCAGCTCTAGAGTCAATATTTAAGAGCACTCATTGGCAAGATATGGGCATCAATATAGATCGAGAAAGATTAAATCACCAAAGATTTGCAGATGGTGTTGTATTAATCGCAGATAATTTACAAGATACAGTTTCTATGATGCATTCGCTTAAAAGTCTGTCTGAAAGAGCAGGATTAAAGATAAACTTTGAGAAAACTAAACTTATAACAAATCTCGTAATGAGTGGAAATATAACTATTGACAATAATACCATACAACAAACAGACACTTACAAATATCTGGGACACGAAATCAAAATAAGCAGAGACAATCAAACACATGAAATATAGAGGCGAATAGGCCTAACATGGGGAACATTTGGCAAATTAAGCCATATTCTAAAAAGTTCAATTCCCATGTGTCTCAAGCGAAAGGTTTATAACCAATGTGTTTTACCTGTACAAACTTATGGAGCAGAGACTTTAATACTCACGCAAAAATCTGCGAATAAACTCAGAGTTACACAACGAGCCATGGAATGTGCAATGCTGAACGTGAGCCTTCGAGACCACATAACAAACCAACAAATCAGGCAAAGATCAGGAGTTGAAGACGTCATCGAAAGAGCCACGACGCTTAAGTGGAACTGGGCAGGGCACAAAATGGACGGTAGATAAGATGTATTATGGAATGGAGGCCCAAAAACTATAAAAGAAGCCGAGGACGACCACCGACTAGATGGAAGGATGATATAAAACGTGTAGTGGGAAACTGGCTACAAGCGGCCCAGTGTAGAGAACACTGGAAAGAACTGAGGGAGGCCTATGTCCAGCAGTGGACGCGATTGGCTGATTGATGATGATATTCTAATTTAGTTTTATTGTGTAGTTTTTCTAGGACAATTCTACCGCCCCTAAAAATATAATAAATTTTTTTGGGGGCAATTATTTTTTATATAAAAAACCTTCACAAATCTCAAGAAATATTTATTGAAACTTTTTGAAGTGAATACTTCTTATCGCTCGGTATGGTATTTTGGACGGGCGCAAAATCCCATTTAGCATGATCGAAAAATCAAGACGAGTGTAGTAACCTTGTGGTATACCGTAATATACATAATATACATTGATTTTAAAAATATTTATGTAAAATAAATTAAATTAAATTAAATCAAATTTCATCGTACATTCGGATATAGTTTATGCAATAAAACAAACTAAAAAAGAAAAGCTGTAGAACCCGACGAACTACCTATTAAGTTAATAAAGCTTATTGATCATGGATCATTAGACATATTAGTCATATTTTACAACCGTATATATTCTTCAGGTATATTACCGAAATAGTGGCTGATATCAATGTTTATTCCAATACCGAAAAAGAATAATGCAAAATAGTGTCTCAATGGGGATTCAAAAATGGAACTGAAAAAAGACATGCGTTGTTTGGTATGAATATGCTAATGTAATATGTATGGATGTAAATCAAGATGTGTCTACATGCTTAATTGGGGACATCTTAAAGAAAAAAAAGATGATATGGATGAACATGATATCCGAATAATTACGCATTTATTGAAATCAAAAAGCCAAAATAAACATAGATGCCTAATCAGAATAAAGATGAATGAGAAAGTCTTATCTTCTCTCAATAATAGAAAAAGTAGGACACTACAAATACATTTTCGTATGGAGCAGAACAAGCAAAAGAGATTAGATGCCGTATAGAAATAGCAAGAGCCGCCTTCTTGAAAATGAAAAAGCTATTAACCAATAAAAATATAACGTTAGAATTAAGAACGAGGCTATTGCGATGCTATGTATTCTACACATTGCTGTATGGCGTTGAGGTGTAGACTTTGACAAAAACAGACCTACATAAATTAGAAATATTCGAAATATGGTGCTACCATAGAACGCTATGTATAGTGTGGATAGGGAAATCAGATATGAGATGCTAGGTCTAATAATGGAAGGAAAGATAAAAAAACAATCGCAGCATTGGAAGATGGAGAGTTTCTTGGCTTAAAAATTTAAACGAATAGTTTAATATGAGTTCAATTTAATTATTTAGGACAGCTGTGAGTAAAGTTAGAACCGCTATAATGATTTGCAAGCTCCTATAGAGAAGGACTTTAAGATAAAGGATAAAATCATAGAAACCAATGAGAGAAGTCTCACAGAAATATTTAGAAGTAAATATTGAGTTATTCAATACTCTTCTTCTTCAAGTGCCGTCTCCATCAATGGAGGTTAGCGGTTATGGTGGTTATGGTAAGATAGACAAACGTTTGCCACCATTCAATACTCATTTTTATTTAAGTTTAATTTTTGTCCTTTTTTCATGTGTATAAATTAAAACAAATTCCAGAAATTACAAATAGTAATTTCAACAAGAAGGCGGATATACAACATAAAAGGAGACTAAAATTAACGTTAAAACAGGCGTATACCTAAATTTTATTTATTTTAAAGCAAAACTGCTTATCTTTCATCGATTTACATTTCAAAATATATCTTTTATTGTTTTTTATTTTATTCTATTGGCAACACGTATAAAGATCTATTTCTTAAAAGATCTATGTCTTGATAATTTACCGTTTCTGTTGCTTGGTGATACAGTAAACAATCTGAATGGCCCAAAGAAATTCTTGAAGGAAAATCTGTCGATGATGGCCAAGAATCTATCCCGACAGCAACAAGAATTGTAACATCTATTGTTATGTTTGATAAAGCTGGCGATAAAAACTCTATTTTTAATCTAATACCACTAGGCTCATCTACTATGGCTAGTCTAAAGTCTCTTGGATCTGGAAATCTTGGAATATTTCCACCTGCAATAAAACGTAATTATAAAGTTAAATCTCTTTATTATAATTTATTACTACTTCCAATAGAAATTTTTATTTGCCATTTCTATTTTCATATCCATTGGATCCCAAGTCTTTTTTAAATTGATACTATAGGTACTATATATACGTATCGAACTTACCTGGACCGTAGTAAACATGTTTATCAGGGGGCACTTTTAAAATATTATAAAGACTATAACTGTCGACTACTTTTCCTGGTATTCCACAAAGGACGGATTCGTCAACATGCAATGGAGTACTGGGAACTTCTTTAGAAGCGGCTATGGCAAGTAACTCAACTAGACGAGCTTGAACTTTGTCCCTGAAGTTAAAAAAATATAATCAATTAAAAACCTTTTAAATATACGGCAGGAAAGATATATAGTACAACTAGAACTAACACCGTAGTCAGTTACAAAAAGCTTTGGTGTACTTTAGTTGCTGATTACATCATAACAGTTGGCAAAAATTATTATATTATATTATAATAAATTAATAATGTTACTTCCAGTAATAAAGTTACCTCCAGTAACTTTTATGCAACACTAATAAAAAAATTTTAAAAACACGCAATACATATTTTCAAATGTTTATCTTGCCTTCAGTGGAACGCTTTCCATTAAAAATCTAATTAAGTCGCTAAAAGTATAATTATACTATAATAGTATAAAAAAAATAATTATTTTATTACTAAATATTATCAATAATGATAGATATCGATGATAATAATAGATATTATAGCATATATTCATATCTATAAAAAAATAACAGCAGATAAGTAACTCCATGAAAAAACAAAAGAGTTCCCACTGGAAAGAGGTGTTAGACCAGGAGAAGTCAGCTGTCTGTTTTCAGCAGTTCTGAAATATCCTTTTAAAAAACTCCTGGTACTAGACCAAGATAAATATTGACAAAAGATTAACAACCTCGGATTTGCCGACGATATTGTCCTTATTGCCGATGATTTACACAGAGCCGAAGTAATGCTTAATCCCTTTATAGGGCATATTAATACAGAAATGATTTCAGGTTTTTAGTCAATGTTTTTGGTTTTGTATCGTACCCAAAGCACAGTAGTTTATAAACATATTAAAAAAAAGAATCTGAGAATCTTTTCTGAGCCGGTTGATTTTTCAACCTCTATCCAGTTATGCAAAATTATTTTCCATAAAATCTCTGGACGAAATTTCAAACCAGGTAATTGTTTTTGTAATTAAACAATGCTTAAAACGTAAAAATGAATTATTATAAAATAAAACCAGATAATAATTTGAAAAAAGAACATAAAATTGTAAAATCCTATTTAGAAAACTTAATATTTATTTATTGTGGAAAGAGCGAAACATTGTATGCAGAGGGCTACTTCTGATTTAGTGTAAGCTACGCTAGATCTTTTTGGGTGTTTTTCTGTACTACATCTTGCAAATCTTCTTTAAGTTGTATTGGTTGGTAAGTGATCGCCAACATTTGTCAGTCGCACTGTATTCTCAACAGTAAGACCATCCACCTTTTTTTTATTTTTTCCCATTACCAACCAAGAACTTGGATTTTTTCTTAAAAAAATTACGTTTAAAAATTGATTTACTAGAATGCTTCTGAATACTAGTTGTGTTTTAGGTTTGACTTGAAGCTGCTTATTTAAAGCTAAAGTTTTGTATAGTGTATATAAGTTTTGTATATAAATACTAGCATAGACAAAATAATACCAAAGTTTTAACCACCACCTTCGAGACTTCCAGGCAATGCTGTAACAAGAATGAAGTTGATCGAAGAGATCAACTCCATTCCATATTTCTCTATTATAATCTTCAATACTCTTTAGACATTGTACTGTTATTTTTGATCCTTCTTTAGTCATTCGCTGAACTGAAGATTTTTCTGTTACATTGTGTATGGTACTAGCCACAATGACACATTTTTTCCTCTACCCTTCCATTTTTTCACTGTAATATTGCTGGTAGCAACACTATCAGAGTCACCAGTTTGTAAATTTTTATCGGGTGCCAATTCGTCTGTAGGAAAATTTTTTCTATTAGATATTATAATCCCACAACCAAACAATTTTCGATCAAGAAGCTTGGAGAGCAATGCAAATCTGGTAAAAAAAATTATCGAAGTAGATACAGTAATACTTTGCTACAAAAGGCTGGGTCAATTCCAAAACAGTTCGTTCACCGAGGGGACTCTCTACATTGCTTTCCGTTTTGCCTTCATATACAGAGAAATTTAACAAGTAACCAGTTCCAGAGCATGCTAGAGTCCATACTTTGAAACCTCTTTTTATAGTCTTCATCGGCATGTGTTGTTTTATACTGGTTTTTTTCTTTGAATGCAACCATGCTTTCATCTAAAGCTAAATTTCTACTTGGACTATATGTTTCCGGAAATTTTTCCTTCAAATAGGAAATCAAAAGTTTTACCTTGTACTTGTCGAAATATGGGTCTCCCCTTTTCGGAAGTTCCTGGTTATTACTAATATGCAAATATCGTAGAATTTTTAAAAACCTTTTCACGGACGTGATACCAGATTTTCTGTCTGAATGGAAATTTGGATCCGTCATTACAAACAGCTCATTCAGTGACAAATCCAACATTTTGGCATTTTGCTGAGCATAACAATTAGACTCGTCGACCATTAGGAGCAAACAATCCTTTACAAATATTTCCAAAAAAACATCAAGTGGAGACTGGATTTCTATATTCGAATGCTTCGAAACTTGTTATTTTAGACTGGTTGAAATATCAACCAGTAACCTATAAAGGGTTAATGAATTATCACAGGGAAGCAAAGAAGTGGTATTGCAAATAAACAAAAGAAAAACAAATTGTATGACTAACTTGGTCGTCGGAGGAACAATAAAATTAGAAAACAACACCATGGAAGAGGTTACATATTACAAATATCTTGGCAATGACAAAAATCGCCAGAAGCAACTAGATCCAAGAAATACAAAGAAAAATGGGTCTAAGTTAAGCTGCTAAAAATAAAGAAATTGGCAAAAGTAAGATGTTGTCTTAAGACCTTCACTATACATGAAAATCTCGCACCGAAACTCAAAAAGTATTGAACCTAACTTTATTAAGTAATTCGACGGCGACGTAGGATGAGAAGACAATTAACGAAAAGGTAATATTAAACTTTGAAAGAATATTTTTCAAATTGTAATATGTATTACCCTTGTAATGTAATCAAGAGTAAAATACTTCAAGTTCTAATCTTTAGCTTACTAAGAGTCACATTTTTCCATCACAACTTATTGGACATCTACAATTTGGACACCGCATATATTCTCATTCTCGTTTGTTCTCAAAAAGTAAACCTTCAAAATGCAAAACCAGTAATATACTAAGGAGCATACAATATTTCACTGCTCCTAATATATGTTTCAAAGACACTCTTAAAACATGCCAAACAGTTTAAAGAGTTACTTTTTGACAGGTCAGTTCCAGACAACTTATTTGGTTACTTAAAAAGTGTGTTACATAATTGGTATATTTCATTACATATATGTTACAAAATTTAATTAATAATTAAAGTAATATTGCTAATAACCTAGGATTGATGTTTTATCCTCACATAAAAACTATGTTTTACCTTCTTAGATATCCCTGAGAATTTGTAAAATCACCCCATATCTTAAAAGTTGATGTGTGTAACTTAATTCTTGCATAACCAGCTGGATAGTCTGACTCCGATTCTGTTATAGAGTATTTTGGATTGGTATCTGCTTCATATAAAGTTGGTAAGGATAAAGTATCCAATCTTATAATATAGTCCAATTTATTTGACAAATGGTTCTAAAAGTAAAAAATAATTAGTTTTCAAGTAGTCTTCATAGATATATTAAAATAATTATACAAAATTTTATGTACTTTGTGGACTCATGGTTTATTTAGTGGGCAAAAAATTGAAGAAGACGATTTACAGATATGCTAAAAGCGTCAACTCAATAAAATGCTAAAAAAAGATCGAATTTAGCAATATTAACCTACAAACTAAATTCTAATAACAAAAGAAATAAATCGAGCTAGTGAATATAATAGCTTTAAACTTATATATTTTCTAAAATTATAATTCAGGAAACAGAATGGCAAAGATAATTAATATTGCCATAAAAGTTAAAATAAAGCATTTTAAGTTTAATTTCAAAACAAAAGCAAAGTCAAAGATGGATTGTAATCTTCTTCTTCTTCTTCTTCGCGTGTCATATCAGAACTATTCGACGTTGGCGATCACCATTGCAAAGGCTTCTCGATCTTCTGCAATATGGAATAATTGTCCTGCATTTTGTATCTGAGTCCATTCACGAATGTTTTTTAACCAAGAAACTTGTTTTCTTCCTACACCTCTACGGCCCTCTATTTTGCCTTTAAGGATCAGTTGTAAAATTTTATATCGACTTCCCCTTACTATATGTCCCAAATGAGACATTTTTCGATGTTTAACAGTCTTTAGCAGTTCTCTGTCTTTGTTGACGCTCCTTAGTACTTCTTTATTAGTTTTTCTTGCTGTCCAAGGTATCTTCAGCATTCGTCTATGAGCCCTCATTTCCAATGCTTTAATATTGTTCATGATCGATACTTTTAGCGTCCACACTTCTGCACTATATAAAAGTACAGACCAAACATAACACTTAACCATTCTTTGCCTTAGTTCTAAACTGAGATCTTATTGCAAAGAAATGACTTTATTTTTATAAAAGTATATTTAGTCATTGCTATTCTACATTTTATTTCTATGTCTGGATCTATTTGGTCCGTTATCACGGTTCCCAATATCTCATTTTGTGAATTTTCTCAACTTGGACTCCGTTCAATTGAAGCTTTGAATCGGGATGTGGGTCACGACTAAACACTAAAAATTTGGTTTTGTTTGAGTTTATTTTAATGCCCATTTCCTCTCCTACCTTGTGAATACGATCAAGCAAAATTTGAAGACCTTCAATATTATCTGATAGAATTACTGTATCGTCTGCAGTCACATTAAGTAGTTCCCCTTTGATTTTTATTCCATATGGTTATCTCTCAAGTGCATTGAACAATGTTGGCGACAAAATGCAACCTTGTCTGACTCCTCGTTGTATGGGGATTTCATCGGTGTATTTATCTCCAATTTTTATGATAGCAGTTTGATTCCAGTACAAATTTTTACACGAATATCCTTGTCATCTATTCCGATATTTCTCAGTAGTTGCATTAATTTTACTTGCTGTACTTTATTGAATGCCTGTTCGAAGTCCACGAAACATTCAAATACATCTTTTCTTTGGTCACGGCATATTTGTAATAGGATGTTAAGCGCAAAAAGTGCCTCCCTGGTTCCCATAGCATTTCTAAAACCAAATTGGGTATCTTCAAGATCTTCTTCGCATTTGCGTCTAATTCTGTAATATAGGATATAAAGATGACTTGAGTCGGTAGAAATGTTTAAAAATAATTATTAAAATGTCAAATCGTGTAACGATAACGTCACCATCGCTTGTCAAAAGTTAGACCTCTCGCTGTGTGCTCACACTCCCATCAACAACCGACCATTACTATCGATGTTTGCTCGAGATTGAACACCGCCCAAAAGTATAACATGCCGTAAAGAACGACGAGGACAAAGCTCGATCCGGAGTATTGATCTGGTAAGAACTTCCTCCCATTCCAGTCTCTGAGTGCTGATCATAGGCCACCTTCGTTTCCTCTTCTTGCTATCGAGTATTGATCGATCGCTTCTGTACCATACCTCACCTGATTGATCGACCACTACTCGGTCTTTGGGTATCGACTTAACATCTTCCTTAGTTCTATTAATCCAAACGCCGCTAACATTTATTTTCCATTCGCCGGGATCAATGTCGAGGACCGTTTATTTTACTTAAGAGCATTCGTTTTTTAATTTTAGGTATTGTATAGAAGTAAACTTTATTTTGTTTGTTATTTACAACAAATTGGCACCCGAGCTAAATTAAATCAGTAAAAAAGTTGAATTAAAGTACGTAGCCGAAAGGGTCGGCTTAGATTTCAAAGAAAACGTCGGAGAACTGAGATCAAGGCTAAGACACTTTTTTAAAAATCGCGGGGACTGACAGTTTAGATCAGAACACAGCTCGATCCAGATCGATAAGATTTCGATCCGGAGTATTGATCTGGCAAGAACTTCTATCCTGGTCTCTGAGTAGTAATCAGAGTCCACCGTCCTTTTCCATCTCTACGATCAAGAATTGATGGATCGCTTCTGTGCCTTACCTTGCCTTAGACGATTATTGATCAACCACTCCCCTGTCTTTGGGTATTGACTAAAGATCGTCCTTCGTCCTATACATCAAAACGCCACTAATATTTATTTCCATTTACCGCCATAAATGTCGAGGACCGCATGCAGTTTATTTTACTAAAGAGGATTCTTCTTTTTATTTTATGTGTTTTTACTGTATAGAAGTCAATTTTATTTTGTTTGATATTGTATTTGTATAATTTTTTATTTAAATTAAACTTTCGTTTTACTAAGTATGGTGTCTAATAGACCCATCACAAATTGATGCGAAAAATCTCCAGAAAGACAGAGCTATCCGTCACAATCATAGTAAATAATTGTTTATACTATATAACTACGTGCTTCGCGAACTTAAACAAAAATTGGATCAATGTAAAATCATAAAGTAAGTAGAAGGACGTAATTAATTTTTGTATTTTAATGTTATGTGAGTAAAAGCTTTTGTCGTAAGTTAGTCGTGAGTCAAATAAATGTAAATAATACGAAGTAATAGAAGTTGTTTAATTATACTTGAATTAAATTTTAATTAATTTATTCTTTTCTTTCCCAGAGTACCCCTTTTTACCCCCTGTTTTGTGACTACTATCCATCTCAATATAAAATGTGAATTAAATAAAGGAATTCCAATGTCACAGTGTTAACTAGCTATACTTAATTAAATTAACTCCAGGAATCATCTCAACGTGGATTCAGACACAATTTAAATCAAAGGCTGTTAATAAATGAAGTCATTTACAGGATTTAACGTATTTTATAAACTTGTTTGACCGTTTTCACTTTCTGATCCCTGTCTAAAATTTAATAAATCTTATTTATATATCTTACTCGTATTTTTGGAGTTTTATCTTCGTATTTTTTTATTATTTTATACACTAATCAAGAAGAGGTTTTTTCTTACTAAACTGTACTTACGGATTTATGTTGACTGTTCGAAATTAAATATTTGGAAGAAAACCGAGGATCTAACATTCCAGCACCACACATCAGCCTTTGAATCAATCGTTCGCTGACAGATCTTGCTAGCAACAAACTCTTTTCTGAAAAAAAAAGTATCTGTATATATATATATATATATATTATATATATATATATATATATATATATATATATATATATATATATATATATATATATATATATATATATATATATATATATCGGAAAAAGGAGTACGACCGTCAATCCAATATATATATATATAAGGATCACTCAGACGAGTGGTGGGTTCTTATATCGGTCTCTAGGTGGAGAAATAAAAGACAAAGTTGATAGGCTACTTTATCTATTTTGAAGACGTTTCGCTTTCGAGTTTTGAAAGCATCATCAGTTCATCTTAAAAGGATATGTAGCAGTCAATGTTATTAACAAATATGTGAATGAAACTAAGTAAATGGACATAGTACGCTGATCTTGTATAAACAGTTAAGCAACTAACAACATATATGAACTTGTAAAAAATTAGCACAGCAATTGACCATGTGGTCCAAAATAAATTCAATGTTATTTAATGTTAATAAGTGAGAAAGAACCAAGAAAATCATAAATAACTTCCAACTATTTAATGGATATTAAGCTTTGATTTTAACTTTAGGTAGCATTATAAGTAATATTAATAAAATTCTAAAAAATAGTGAATATGAAGTTACCGATCAAAGCCCTATGGATGTCGCCATGAAAAATGAAATTTTTGAAATTTTTCACGGCGACATCCATAGGGCTTTGATCGGTAACTTCATATTCACTATTTTTTAGAATTTTATTAATATTACTTATAATGCTACCTAAAGTTAAAATCAAAGCTTAATATCCATTAAATAGTTGGAAGTTATTTATGATTTTCTTGGTTCTTTCTCACTTATTAACATTAAATAACATTGAATTTATTTTGGACCACATGGTCAATTGCTGTGCTAATTTTTTACAAGTTCATATATGTTGTTAGTTGCTTAACTGTTTATACAAGATCAGCGTACTATGTCCATTTACTTAGTTTCATTCACATATTTGTTAATAACATTGACTGCTACATATCTTTTTAAGATGAACTGATGATGCTTTCAAAACTCGAAAGCGAAACGTCTTCAAAATAGATAAAGTAGCCTATCAACTTTGTCTTTTATTTCTCCACCTAGAGACCGATATAAGAACCCACCACTCGTCTGAGTGATCCTTATATATATATATATATATATATTATATATATATATATATATATTATATATATATATATATATATATATATATATATATTTATTGAGATAATAATAGATATAGAAGAAATTAGCATAATAATAAGTGTAAAAAGTTATTATTTTATAATTATAATATTATAGATATATTTAAGTAAGCCATGTGCATAGGCAACCAAATATACACTGAATAAGTTACAGTTGTGAGATTACGGATGTGAAATGGGGTTATTTATTAGTTTGGGATGTTTAATTTACATATAATTACGGATGTAAAATAGTGTTATGTATTAATTTAAGATGTTTAGTTTATATAAGTGTATATTATGATCTGAAAATCCTAAATGCCCATTAAATTATCAATAGAAAAATTAAGAATTTTCTAGAGCATTTAAATAACACGTCAATATAAAGAATTTAACCCTATTTGCGAGGAAGACTATTCGAGAGCATTCATATATCTAGAAAATAGAAAATTCGAACATGGTTTATTGCTAGAATATTCGGGACCGATGAAAAGATATAAATACGATGTAATTTGAAGCAAGCACTCATTAACACAGTATTAAGTTAGACAGTATGAGAGTAAAGTAGAACAATTAAACAGTTGTTAATTAAGACAGTTCAAGACAGTATGGAGTTAGTTAAGTAAGAAGTTAAACAGTGAAACAATTAAACAGTTTTTCATTAAGACAGTTATAGTTGGACAGTTAACAGTTACAGTAAGACAATAATCAGTCTTATCATAATTCAGTCAATAAGATTCAATAAGCAGTCAATCATTCAGTCAGTTGATCAGTAAATAGTACAAGCAGATAATATGCAGTGGTCAGTATTAAAGCATTAATTATACAGTACAGTATGCAGTAATCAGTGATTCAAAGTTTTATAGTATTTGAAAGTATATTTGAAATTATATTAAAATTATAATATCTATATGGTGATTGGAGATTATTAAGAAGAAAAAATAAGATTAAAAGTAAGAATTAAAGAAGAAACAATAAATAAAGAAGAATATTTTACCCATTTATAAATACTATTAAGAAGAAAAATATTTTAAATTGGTAGAAGCTGATAATTAAAACATTCTGGTATGTTTGGAAAAAGCAATTTCACAAAAACAAGGATAACCGAGGCTGATAAAGAGGATATTAAGTGGTGATTATACGTGAATGTGTGTGTGTGTGTGTGTGTGTGTGTGTGTGTGTGTGTGTGTGTGTGTGTGTATGTGTGGTTCATATTAGTTATAATAAAGATATGTAACAATAAAACACTGAAAACTTTGTTTTTAAACTTCCACAAAATGTATTTTAAATCTTATCGATACAGCTGTTTCGGCTGATTGCCTTTCTCAAGTGATCTAGTTTTGGCTTGGGTTTACAAATTTATAGTCTCTAAATAGGTTGAGGAGGGGAGAACTATTTGTCTCAAGTTGGTCATTCAGAATTATATCTGTGTTTTTTAATTTGTTGATTTCCATAGATTCTAACAAAGATAGCTTAAGGCCTTTATTTTGAATGTGAAGAATTTTAAGTTTGTCATTAAAAGAATGATTATGATCTAGAAGGTGAAGTGCGTATGTCGAATATGTTTTTCTATTCTTGAAAGCCTTTTATGGTCTGCTATTCGTTTATCAAAGTTTCTACCAGTTTGACCGATGTAAGTTTTTGGGCAGTCGCCACATTGAAGTTTGTACACACCACTATTCAAGTGTTTTTTATTTTGGCTCTTGTTATTTTTAATACATTTGCCTAGATTGTTATTTGTTCGGAAAGCTGGTGTTATTCCTTTCTTTTTTGTGTTTGGCAAATTTTGTTGTTATTTTGCCTGTATATGTAATCGAGCAGAAGGTACTGGGGTTTTTCTCTGGTGGTGGAAATACTAATTTCAGGGCTTTCTTCTGTAGTTTTTGATTTAACATTTTATTAATTGGTTGTTCGTTGTATCCGTTGTTTACTGCTATTTGCTTAATTATATTTAATTCTGTCTCAAAGTTGTATTTTGACATCGGAATTTCTGTTAATCTATGTAACATACTATGATAAGCTGCCAGTTTATGTTGTGTTGGATGGGATGATGAATTCCCAGTCGTGTCAGTATGGGTAGGTTTATGAAATATGGAGAAGTCATGTTTGTTTTGAAGTCTGCTAATTTTTAAATCCAAAAAATTTATGGATTGATTTTGTTCTGTTTCTATTGTAAATTCAATTACTTTGAAGTGAATTAATATACGATAAACATTGGTCGAGTTGCCTGTTGGTTCCAGTCAAACATACCAGTACGTCGTCTACGTATCTCCACCGTATTTACGTTTGTTTTACAGGAAGAGTTAAATGATTATGCCCAATACAAATATTCACAAACAAAATACACCTAAGAGAGGTAACTGGACCTGTAGGGAGCTAAGTGATGGTGTAGATGCTGTAAAGAATGGTGATACGTGAATTAATGAAGCGTCAAAAGCATTTGAAATACCCAAAACGACTTTCAAACGTCAACTAAAAACAAGCAATACGAATAAGATAAATCGATTGGGTCCAGATTATTCTTGAGGAAGTACTGTTTAAGCTAAAATCGTTGACCATATAAAAAACTAAAAAAAAGTAGGCTTTGCACCAAACAACTGAAGTAAGAATCACAGCCTGCAATTTAGCTCAGCGATTGGGGATTCCAAACAAATTGAATGTAGAAGAAGGTAAATTTTTAAATAAAAGTAAATCTGGTACAAAATGGTTAGAACTCTTTTTGAAATGAAGACTTGAAATTTCACTTAGAAAAGCTGAGAACACCTCAATTGCAGCAGCTTTAGAAATGTCCAAAGAAACAGATGATGACCAAATTTAATTTTTATGATAAACCCGGAGACATATTTAATACTGACCAAACAGGACTATAACTGTATACTAGAGACAATCAAGTTTTAGCCGAAAAAGGTTTAAAATGTGTTCCCAGCGTAAGCTTTGGGGGAAAAGATAAAACTATCAGTGTAATAGTTTTCCTGTCAATATTATTGCATTTTTAAGAGTAAAAATTAAAAAATACGAGTGGCTTTATGGTACGCCACCGGGATTCAAGATTAGGATATCGGAAAAATTAGCACACGTTAACAGTGACATTTTCTTAAAATGGTTACAAACACACTTTTTGCCAAAAAAGGCTACAGATAAAACGTTATTAATATTAGATGGCCACATATCCCATACCACCAACCTAGATCTACCATAATTTGCAGACCAAAACAGAATTATTTTATTTTGTTTATTATCCTACACAACACATTAGCTACAGCCTCTGAATCGTGCTTTTTAAGTCACCTGAAATAAGTCACACATTTATGGTCAAATAAGCAATATGGTATCACAAGTCATATAAAAGCAACTTTATGGTAACGCTGTTTTATGGTACAAAATAACACAAACGTTTCTAAAATACCTTTAGGTTGATAAACTCTTAGGTTGAGTATAAGGAAACTCAGTAACTGTCCAAAATGCGGCTTTTGTATATAAATCCATGGTAGTTTATGCGTTTCATCCGTTAATAATCCCAGCATATGCATTTTTAACACAGTTCATTAGAAATTGAAACAATGAATTTTCCACTTGGATCAGAACTCCTCAACCAGGTCTCGCTGGAATTAACGGTAAAATAACCTATTAGCCCAAAGAGGTCATTAATTACTGATGAAGATCTAACTCCCGAAAATTCTCTTGATGAAGTAATACCCATGCCTGTATTGCCAGCAGCAGTAAAAAGGTCAAAACCTTTAAAAAAACAAAAGAGTAAAAGAAAGGCAACCGAATCGTCACTATTTGAGGAAGATGTTACTCTAAACGACACTAGTGATGACG